TCTCCCTGCTCCTACACTCAATAAATGCTTAATCACATCACGAAAAGTAACAACAGAACAACTCAATTCTGTCTTAAAAATATTTAACATTCGGCAAACTAATGTAAGTGAAAGCTATTTAATTGTACTGTCTTTTGATAAATTGACATTGTACACTTGTTTGCTTAATAACAAGTGGGGAGACAGTGAAACTAAACTTGTGAAGCTGTATACTTGCCCATCAGAAATTTGTAACATAGAAATAGTAGAGCAAGACAATCTATACATTCAAATTGGGCTAAAAATAGGCACATTGATCAGACTTTCTTTAAAAAATATTCTAAACAAACCAGATTTAGTACATTTGAACACAGCTCTGCACAAATATTTATATATTAAGGACACAGTGATTTACACAGATGGTATATCTATGTGGAAAGCAGAAAATGTATTTAAAGAAAACATGCTGTTCACAAAGTTCTTCGTAAAACACGTTAAAGACTTTGTAAATTTTGGTGATCAAATCATATGCACTTCATTTTCGAACATGTTGTATGTCTTCCCATTAGATGACAATAATTCATATGTAAAACAAGAAACAATAACAGAATATTGCGCTGCAGAGAAGCTATTAAATAACTCTGAATATTTATACAAGATCATGGAAGAAATAGAGAAAAACAATGAACTTATAAAGAAAATAAACAATGAGGGAAACTACATTACAGCATTTTCTATATCAAAAAGGCATGATGTGATGGATAATATCATACATAACAGCATCCAAGTATTCGAGAGTTACGAAGATGTTATTAAAGAGAACTCAGACATAACACTAACTGAAAATATGCATGAATATTTCAATCACAATTCAGTTTACATTTTAGTGAAGCTTGCAGCTGTTTCTCTGCAACACATATTCAATAACATCTTGTCTAATATACTGAATGATGTCAAAATCCACATAACGTTCTGTACGGATACAAAATTACTGAAAACGACAAGCATAAAAGTAAATGAAACTTTTAAAAAATTAAAAGTTCTATTGCCTATAAACATGAAAGATGATGACATAGCTGAGATTATCGTAAACATAAAATTGGTATCGAGTATTCCTGGGGCATTTGATGAGAGACAAAAATTATGGGTCACACTTTACAGGGAGAATGTTATTTTGAAATCGGAACATTTTATAAAACCTAATGGTGCAAATAAGACCTATACAAATTTAAAAGAGCCAATAGAACCATTGGTGGATATGATATACAAATCTGCTTTAAACCAACATGGCAGTTTATTTAACATCACCGATATTTCAAAGTTTCATTCATATGCAAAAGAGTTCTCTGTATATTGTAGGCTACCAAATAATTACAAAGATATTTTCAAAGACACATCTTTGATGAATTATTTAGAACACATAAACAAAAAGAAGGCTACTTATATACTAGATCAAATGAAATGTGATGAATTTTTAAGATCTGAAAGTAATATAAGTTTTAATGTTGGAAATGTTAGTGTGAAGTTGGAAATTGTAAATGATGACTTCTCTAATCCGTTAATGAAAATAACTAGTATAAATAAGCTCATTGCATTTAATGTAAGGAATTTTGTGGCAAATCTGATATACAATGATGCAACTGTATGTGGCAATGATAAAGGAAATGTTATTTATAGTCTTTATAATACTACAGAGGTAAGTTGTGTTTTAAACAAATTTCAACTTTTCTTTCAGTTGAATCTACCTGCTGTAATTTGAAACTGGCACATCAGCCTATTGATATCGCCACTGCTGGGGCACATACAACTCCTATGGATGGAATGGAGAAATTGAGCCATGACCCAGCACATGGGCTCAATGCAAGCAGATTGGTGGGTGCTAAAAACATTGATGCAGCTGAGCCCAAAGGCTTGATGTCAAACCATGAAGAAACTTGTGAGAATAAAGTTTTATTCACCCTGCATATGCCAGCCACTGCTAAAATTTGCTCAACTTCTACGATCACAGACAGAAAGCCAGTTAAACTAAGTTAACCACTTGCGCCATCTGCCTCCTCACTGGTTTTTGTCATCAACTACATATATATTTAATGTCTTCCCTACTCTTCTAGAGCTCTGACCTTCAACTCATCTGGCAGTCATACAGAAATAATATAGGCCTTGCTTGGATTGTATTTACATGTGATATTTCATTTTTATAAATTTTATTCTTAAATGATGATGATGACAAGGTTTTTCTTAATTTTATTACAGAATCTGCTTAAGAAAATTAAGCTTGCTTTGCTCAACCACTGTAAATATGAAGAATTTCAACCAATAGCTGAAAATTTTGAAAAAAATGTATTTGGTGCTTTGCCCATATAGTAATCAAGTTCTGCTAATGTTTAGTATATAAAACTTTGCCTGAAATTAATGTGATATATTTATTTAAAAATCGATGATATCGTGATCCAGTCAAATAAAAAATATATATTTATGATTCATCAAGTTTTTTATTACCTATTAGTCCAGTCGAATAAGACTTTGAAGGGTACAAAAAATCCCATAGAGCTAAAAATTGGTATGAATGTTCAGAATACTATTCTAAATGAATTGTGAAAAGTCCCCTTCAATCCCATTTGCCAATATATCCTTGTAACCGGTCCAACAAATTTAATTAAAAACTTAAGCAACCCTTACTCAAAAACAAATATCCTTTCAATACAAATAATTTCCCCTACTGGGATTCGAAACCTTGTAAAGGCTTCCTTCCTACCGTTATACAACCTGTTATCAACAGGTCTGGGTCTCCATTTATCGTGAACGTTGCGTGCCGTGAGTATACTGTAGAGGAGGGGGCGGGTAACCTACCCGTTAGGTCAAAATACGGTTTTTTGAAATCTGGCGCTCCGGGCCACTTACGATTTGCAAAGAATTAGTAAATCAAAATATAGTAGTCACTAATGCGTATAAAAGCTTCTGCCACTCCTCGCAGCCTGCCGCCCTAGTGTAAGCACGACCCTGGAACGACAGATAAAAACGCGCGAATTCGCTGATAACACGGAAGGATATAGGTATGTAAATTACGTAGCGAAAATAAGTGTGATTTTGCTGCGTTGCTGTTTCCAAATTTTGCTTCTACTCTTCGCTTTTATGAATTGACCGCAATTGCAAACAGGGGTTACATCGTCTGCTTGCGTTTCCCATACAAACTTCCATTATCCTCCCCTTTGCTTTGCAAACGACGGGGCGGGGCGGGCCGGTCAATTTCGCCGCGAACGATAGCACAAAATGAATCCTATATTACAAACGCACACAGAGGGCAAAAAGACCGCGCCACAGCTGCCCGGCGGGCACTGGCGGCGCGGCATGTCCGCGGCTGCCCGCCGTGGATCATACAAACCAGTTTATATGCAGTAACGCAGATGGCAGCGCGGGGTGGTTAGCTCAGTCCGCGCCACGCGCTTTTTAGTGATGGACTATTCACTAGAACGAACGTCCTGAACTGACTGCCTCTGCCCATCGTGTGCTTTGTGTACGCGGCGCGGGCAGCCGAAGACATCGACGGGCAGACGCGGTTTTTATTGCTTCGCGGACAAAATGCCCGCCCCGCCCCGTCGTCTACAAAACGCCTAAAGGTACAAGTCCGAACTGAACCGCAGACCACAGGCCGCAGCTGCAGACTGCAGGCGACACTACTAGTTTCTATGAAATTGATTCCGAGCGCGGCGACATGCCGCGGCTGCACAATGGATATAATGCACGGTCAGCCGCAGTGTCGCCTGCAGCCCATTTCGGAATTGTACTTTTAGAGTGAATTCGGAGATAAAAACAATCCTTTGTCCTCTCCCGGGACTCCAACTATTTCTGTACCAAATTTCATTGAAATTGGTTGTTTCATTTCAATTTTATAACATTATTATGGGTCTATAACAGCACTAATGTATTTATACTATTAATGCAACCCCATCACTATTTACACTGCATTCCCAATGAACACAATAACTGCAAACCAGACATCTAACAATACAGTGCGACCAAGTGGGAATCTTTCATAGCCGAAAACAGAACAAATTTTAAGAATAAAAAAAGCCTTTTTATTTATAGAGGAAGGTGTAAATAAACCTTTTCTATTTGCTATTATTCTTAGTTATTATAAATTATTAGCTGTCCCAGCGAACTTCGTACCGCCATAAATAAATAGGGATTGATGGTAGAAAATAGGGGGTGAAAATTTAGGCTTGTATGATGTATCACAAAAAAATAAAAACAAAATATTTTGCCCAAAAAAATAATTAATGGACCCCCTCTACATTTAAGGGGATTAAAAATAGATGTTGTCCGATCTTCAGAACTACTGAATATGCATATAAAAATTTCACGAAAATCGGTCAAGCGGTTTCGGAGGAGTTCAATAACGAACACCGAGACACGAGAATTTTATATATTAGAGATAACGTTACCTTTACTGAGATTTTACGTTATTACTAATCTTCATATCCCCGCACAATCACCAGTAGCGCCCTGTCAATATCACAAGTGCCACAAGATGTTGGTCGCCATGTACTTTTTTCATTATCGCATCAATCAATAGTTTATTGCTTGATTGACTACTCTATACTTCAAAAGGTCACATCATGGAGGTTACAGAGAAGAACGATCGCTACGTGCTAAATAAATCATTAGCCCGCCTGTCCCTGAAAATTTGTAAATTTATAGTTCATTTTTCAGTCACCAGCCGCGCTGCCATCGGTAATTAGTATCTGTGAAGTTATCTGTTTAAAAGTACAGTAGATGAAGTTAGTTGAATAATGTACAAATTCACGGCATTGGTCATTGCATATAGCGCACAACAGCCCGCTTTTATTGAGACAACTTAGCGATCGCAGCGCCTCACTTATTTGGCCATATTTCCTGAGTCACTATTTTCTACAGCGATCGTTCTCCTTCTCTCTAACCTCCATGGGTCACATTGAGTACTCTATCCTTCAATAGGTCATTGACCTCAACCTATGGGTGGTAGAGTAAATAAAAACCAACAATTTAATTATATCTATTTATTATTAGACCATTCTTCTGAGGAGCTCATTGATCTTGTCCTCGCGGTTGCCGAAGTCACCGCCGTCCACGTAATGGATGGTCTTCTTGCGCCAGCCCCCAGTCGGGTTGTTGAGCTTGAAGGGCCATAGGAAGTTGCTCGCGTACTGAAAAAAACAAATATTAATTTAATATATTTTTTGGCCAGATTTCCTAAATTTAAATTGAAATTTTCGGTCGCACTCTGAAACATGTTCTAAATAGAAACATCTATACTACCTATTACACTTTGTATGCGTTAACTATATTTTTTTGAGAATCCCACAGGAACCCGACATTTTTCAGTATAAAAAGTATCGAGATAATAGTATACTCATATATGCGTACCAAATTTCATCCAAATACGTTCAGTACTTTTTGCATGATTGAGTAACAAACATACAAACTTTCACATTTACAATATTAATAGGATTGAAATTTTGTGTAGATAGTAGTTTCGGCGTCCCGGGAAAGAAAGACAGATTTTATCCCAGTAATCATCCTTAATGGGGTGGAAGTTTGTATAGAAACCCAATTATTTCCATGCAGGCGAAGTCCTTTAATCAATTATATTCTAGTATGGATCAAAGTCGGTCCTACCACTTTCTTTGCAATGCCAATAGAATAAAATGAGGGACTAAAGATACAAGTTAAAAGTTACTAAGCCGTTTCCCAGGACTCAAACGACGATTCAGCGGTTTAAGTGAAGAGACAACAGATAGACAGACAAACTTTCACATATAAAATATTAGTATTGTGGTTTGGATGTGATGTTACCTTGAATTTCTCACCAACGGTGAAGATCTCGTGGATGAGGTCTTCAACACAGATAATGTTGTTCTTGCCGAGCTTCTCCTCAATGATTGTGTTGGATGAGATGGGCATTCGCTGGCCCTTCACCTTGGCGAAACCTCGTTTGTACACCAACTGTTGAAATAAAAGCATGCAATTTACAAATCAATTCAAATTGTTTGATGTTGAAACCTGAGATTTTTTTTTGTCCAATTAAGTTTCATTTACACTTATAAATCTAGTAGTTTAATAGTTACAAAGATAACAATATATAATTATTTATAAAAACCGGCCAAGTGCGAGTCGGACTCGCGCACCGAGGGTTCAGTACAAACTCAATTTAATACCTCTATGCGTTCATGAGAAAAGAGGTATTGTGCATTAAAATTTTCAAAATTATTTTTTATTATAAGATTTAACTAAAAATTTACGGTTTTCGCAATTTTTCCTTTATCTGTACTAAAAGACGTTACTTCGTACCAAATTTCAAGATTCTAAGTTCATGGGAAGTACCCTGTAGGTTTTTATTCCCGTGCGAGTTTCGAAAATTTGCGGCATAAACGGCTCTCTTTTGATCGATTTTTTTTGGAGTCACAGCTCCAAGGGACAGTTGACATGAGTATTAGATATGAATTTCAGTTTGATACCTTCACGCGTTCCTGATAAAAACGGTCTTGACAGACAGACGAACGGACAACAAAGTGATCCTATAAGGGTTCCATTTTTTCCTTTTGAGGTATGGAACACTAAAATTTTAAAAAACTGAGGCAAATAGTTCATAATTTCCATGTTTTGACAGCTGCATAAGTAGTTGTTGGTTCCTACTATCCCAGCACCTGAAATCGATACAATCTAGCTATTCATGAGGGACCACTCGTTTAAACAGTCCCAACAGGGAAATAAATTAGTACATTGCATATCTTTCAAGTTGGAAACTTTGTATGGCGACCAATTTTTCTTTCTAACTTAACACACTATCTTTATATATATAATTCTTCTGTGAGTGTGTATGTCACTGAACTTCTCTTAAACGACTGGACCGATTTTGATGAAATTTTTTGTGTGTGTTTAAGGGGATCTGAGAATGGTTTAGATTCACAATTTTGTCCGCTGGACCACCCCTATTTTTTTAGGGCGGTACGAAGTTCGCTGGGTCAGCTAGTATTTAATAAAACACTTTCAATGGGTATGCAGTGCAATTTATTATTTTTTACATTATCCATGCTATTTCAAAATCTGTCTTGAGATTTAGCCTTAAAAAAACCTTAACTTCATAAAAAAATGTAAAAAATATCAATAAATTAAGACACTTCATACATGTGGAAAGGTGTTTTGTTAAATGTATCATTGTTTTAAATAATAAGAAAGAAGCATGTACACATATGTAATAAGTATACTCAGTCCAGTTAACTCAGCACCTGACTTGATAAGTGACCCGTCTATTTACCCCTCGCCTTACCGCGTGGTTTTACCATTAAGGTCATTGAAACTAAATTAAACTAATGTTTTACAAATATTTAGGCATTTACATTGCTCAATAACTTTTTAAGTAGAAAGTAAATAAACAGGACGGAAAAGGTCCATGGAATGGATTTTACAAGACTTATTAATTTTAACTTAAAATAATCTAGTCAAACAAAAAAAATACAAATATGTTCTTAAAGACATAGAAAATTAGCTATTGAGGTAATGAGTGTTTTTTGCTGCCATACTTGATTAACTGTGATTCAAGCCAGGTGCCCAGTACCCATAGCATGAACCAATATCGATTTTTTTACGTTTGCGAATGCAATGTCATTGTAAAATTTTGTATAAAACTTGAACAGCAGCGCCACAACAGACATGACAAGAATTAAAAATTAGTACACATTTGACATATATCTAGCTAGATCAAACTCAAATATTCGAATTCGATAATACAATGTTACGTCCAATGTGGAAGTAAAGAGAATTAAAAACAGGTACATACAGTTTACTTGAAGGAGTAGTAGAATGCTTACCTCCCGCACACTCTTCAGGTTGGGGTATCCCCAGGTAATGTATGGCTCAGCAATACGCAGCATGTTGACGGTAGCCTTATTGAGGCGAATGAAAACGCCATTGTTGATCTGGCGCAGTCTGAACAATTGTAGCACTTTGCGGACCTGAACAATGAACAAAGATATTATAGTGACTAGTTTTATTTGAAGGAAAAACTTATAGTGGGTCAACCTTAAAAGATAAGACATATCTCCAGAGATTTTGCGGGAATGCTCGACAATTCTAGCGACTGCTCCTTGAGGGACATTGAAAGGCTAGAGACAAGGCTACGATACAACTCAACTAAAACAAATGACAATCTAGATCAGTGGTTCTGAAACAGTTTTCTGCAGACTGGAGGTCCCTGAAAGCAAAGGAAGTGATCCTCAAAACCATTTGAAAAAATATTACAAAAGAAAGAACGCTGATTTATTAACAAATGCTCATAAATGGTGGTTCTTGGTAAGACACAAAGTCGCCAAATGGTCACCCTTAAAAGAGAGACATATATCCTGCGACTTTGCGGGATTGCTCGAGAATTCTAGCGACTGCTCTTCGAGGGGCATTCAGCTGTTTCAATCTAGATCCTATTTAGTAAATGTTAAAGACCACACTACTAATGTAGCGCTAATCCACAGACGGCACCAGCAGTCGTTAAGCAAATTCTATATTTCGTTGAAAAAAATCACTTCTATTTCATTCCACGGTGGTGTGGTTACCACCAATAATACATTTAACCCATCCCATAACCAGCTATAGCGAAAGTAGTTTAACTTCCACATTCAGAGAATGAATGCATTAACCACTACACCATCAAGCTCCTCACTTCACAACTTGACAGAAGTATCCATACATTCAAATTGCATAATATAGACAGAAACTGCATTTATTTATAAATATTGTTAAATTAGGCTTACCTTAGGTGACACTTGGTTGATACCACGAATACGGATAACGAAAGCCAATTTAGCTTCACCAGGAACATAGTAGTTACCACGATTGCGTGCCTGAAATATATGAAGTAAAGTTATAATATTGCTCAACCATATACATACATATATTTTGTTTCAGACAGTTGAAACTTATAACAGCTAAGTTGTCAGATAGATGTGTCCGGGAATTTAGACATTGGTATTAGCATAAACTATATCTTTAAGGAAACAAAGGTTTACCTGTCTAGCTAGCCTGATTTCATCTCGCTCTTTGATGCGGTATTCCTTAACATACTGTTCAGCCCTCTTAAAGATTTCTTTCTTCTTTTTAATTGCCGCTGAACGCCTCTTTAGTGTGACCTGCATATACACAGTTTCAATCAAAAAAAATGTCTACAATCAGATTCCTATTGAACTGCATTTCAAAAGTCAGATTTTATTATTACAGCATTGTGATCAGATGAACTATGCCTTTATATATTTGTTTCATCACTTAAAAGTTTTCTTTTTTATTAAATAAAATATTGGTGACAATTAATTAATGACCAACACTACTAAACACAGTATTCAATAACAGGAAATACAAAACCACACACATAAAACAAAGACAATCTAGATCTGTGGTTCTTAACTCATGGTCCTTGGAAGCACCCAAAGTGGTCCATGAAACAATTTGAAAAAATATTACAAAAGGCAGAACACTAATTAACAAATACTAGGAGTGAAAGGGTTGCGAATCATGAGAAATCATTCTGTGGCAAGACACAAATTCGACCAATGGCCCCTTGTCTTAGATCAGACTTTTATATTAATAAATAAAAATAGCCTTTATTCTCTGCTGTACATGTTAAAAGTAACTTAAAATTAAAACTTTTAGTTTAATCACTGACATCGGCACGTGTACAATCAGGTTGTCCTTGGACATAGGCCTCCTCCAAATTGGCCCATTGGATCCTATCTGTGACTGCTCGTTGCCAACTCTTGGGTGGATCGTCTTCCCATCTTTTGTGTTGTCTTCCAACACCGAGACCAAAACCGAGACTTTAATATTCTTGTGAGAAAAAATGTACAATGGCTACACACTGACCTGCAGACGGCGTGTACGCAGCGCATCCCTCCTCTTGCGGTGCTTGAGCACTGACTCAGGCACAGCAGGCAGCTTCTTGCTGTCCTCCTTGCCTTTCACTGGTTTCTTCTCGGCCGGAGCCTTCTTCTCTGTAGTTGCAACCATTGTGCTAAAATTTTACATAAAACTTGTAATTGCTGTGTCACTTATCATACTCCATTAACACTTAGAATAAATTGATTAAGCAATATTGCCTTGTACACTACAAAAATCTCAATTTATGGTATTTGAAATTAAAAAAGGATGTTGTTTTATAGATCAAAAATAAATAAATCATCATTGGCACTGATTTATCAATTGTAATAGTGCAATACAATAATTTAAAGGAAACGTATGCCAATTTCAAGATGAGAAAGGTGATAGAGTGAGAATGTTGAGCAACAAAACATGTGGAGTTGACACTGCATAATAGAGCACCAGACACAACAAATTATTCAAGATTCGTAGTAGAAACATAGGATTTCATTTAAGTATTTAGGTGATGAAAAGGTTTGATGGACAAGAATAGGACCAACTTTAAAATTCCTATAGGTTATGATTTAGAAACACGATTGAAGAATTCAAGTAAGAAATGGAGACAGTTTCAATTACCAAGAGAGACAATCGATATAGGTATTAAATCGAGATTTATCCTCTAATTATTAACAAAATTAAGTAAAAAAGCACAAATTCATGGGAGAATCGGCATGACAATCATCCATACGATTTGGTTTCACGTTCTCACAGTTTCACTTATTTTGGACCTAAATTAACACTACGTAAAAACTTCTAAGTTTTATTAACACTAAATAGCACCAATTTATTTAAAAATATCCAAATAAATTCCAACCTGCGGGGGAATACTCCACGCGGCACGTGTGTCAAATTATCAAAAGACAGAAAACAGACTTCCGGCAACCGCCATCTTTTTAATATTTTATTACTAGCAACACAGTCTAGCGTATTGATTAAGCCGGAAATATATTTGTATGCCGTGGTCATGAATATATATAAAACGCGTAATAACGCGGTAGAGAAGCGCGGCATACAAATATAATTCATACTGTATTGCTTAAAACCGATACCTCTCAACGCGTCACGACACAATAAGACAGAAAAATATTTTGCCGCCATAATACAACCTTATTTTTCCAACTAAACTAAACCGATGTGCTTTTGAAGCGCCACGACACGACACAACACGTTAATATATTTCTGGCTTAAGTCCCACAGAATAACACATTTCCGGTAGGAAAAATTGGCGCATTTTTTGAATTAAACAGGTTGCTATAGTTACACAAAACTAGTTTTATAGAAAGAACTGTTCCTAGATTCTTCATCTGTATTTTAGATATTAAAAAGATAAACTATTAATAATAACAATGGTCGAAAAAGACCCACAACTGAGTGCTTTAGATATAGGAGAGCTGGATATATTTGTTGAAAGCATGGAGCCGTGGCAAATTGATACCATTGGGAATCAGGCGTTAAGTATCGTTTGCATAATGATTTAATTACGGTGTAAATAACAAAACGTCTTACTTAATGGTACTTTAATGCAACTTTTGGTACTTTTATAGAAAAACAAAAACTGCACTAACAAAGTAGTTAGGTGTGTGATATGGTACATTATTTTATTTCAAACCACGTAAATTCTCAATAAATCTTTCCTTTCTAACAGATGGGTGGACTGGCATATAAGACTCCAGAAGCTCAACCAGCAAGCTGTTCTGGAAGCGTCTTCTATGCAAGAGGAGCTTACTAAAGAGACTCTCATCTCCTGTGGAAAGGTGTTATAATGCTCTTGTAAATGATTTTACTTTAAGTACGTTTCAGTAACAGCAACTTTTTGTTTTTTTTTACAGTTACCAGTATTGGTGTATGAGGCAATATGCATACAAGTGTGGCGATTGAAAATTTACCCACAAATTATGAAGCTGGAACCAGCTCCTGTTAACACTTTTGGAATATATATGGTGGTGAGTAGCTTTTGGATAAAACATTTTCTATTGATATATAATATTATATATATTAAATTCTAGACAACATTTCAAGATAACTATATAAACAGCAGGACTTAAGTACAAATGCTCGCATTCATTACTACAAACATTTGCACCCTCGGGATTCGAACCCTGGACCTCTGTATAAGCGACAATTTGAATCACGCTGTATATACCTCTCATACCACAGACGGGATGCATCCTTTGGAAAACTTCTAGCTACGTCAAACTACGAAGGTCGAATATTACGGTTGCAGTTGTACCACGAAGCGGCCGCAGTGGGTTTACTGGAGACTGTGCTATTTCACGAGGACGGCGCGCAGTGCGTCAGCGACGTGATGATAGACCTGCTGGACTATGCCGTCGACCAGCTCACGGCACTACTGGCGTTGATCAAGTAACTATCACGCATTAAGTACCCTTAGTATGAGTTTGAGCTCACGAAAACTATCATAGTTTTCGTAATTGTAAATTATGTTTCTATGTCCATTTTGGTGAAAAGTAACCAAATATACTTAAAATTTAAGAAGACGCAAATGATTTAATGATAGAATTTAAACACTGTTTATCTGTATTGAAACGAAAACAATAAAACAGTACCCTTAGTACGAGTGCGAGCTCACGAAAACTATCATAGTTTTCGTAATTGTAAAACTCGTACTGTACCTTAGTACGAGTTTTACAATTACGAAAACGAAAAGAAGGCTTAGGTGAAGTGCTAGCTGATGACGGTTACAATTGTTCCACGAAGACGACACGCAGAAAGTTGTAGACCGTTTATCAACAGGGAGGTAGCGTTGGTAAACTTAAATAAAACAACACTTATGAACAGTTATAGGTAGATACCTAATTAGATGTTTGATGTACAAACTATGTACCTACCAATTTCTATTGTTGCGGCAATAGCCAGTGGCGGCGCTAGACCACATGTGGACGTCGGCGACATCAAGTTCGCGAGGCCTATTTTAATTCGCAGTAAAAAACCGTTAAACTAAGTGAGCCAAATTATAAAATAACGTATTAGTAAACGAGTTTTATTGTTGATAATCAAATGATGACAAAAAATAATTACAAACATAGAAATTTAATTACAAAAATAGTGTTGCCAGGCAGACGATTCTGAATACCCGTAAAGTACTACTCGCTTCCATCACGCACGTGTTCGAAAATAATAAAAGTCATTATTATCTGCTTAGTTTTTTCGTCGGCTACCTAAGCCAGGCCAGGAGAAAGGAAAATAAATAGGTAACTTGTAAAAAAATTTTGCGAGGCCCCCTCAGGCGCGAGGCCGTCGGCGGTGGCCGACGTCGCCGACGCGACGCCTAGCGCCGCCACTGGCAATAGCAAAGTATCTAAAAAGTAAACGTTTTTTTTTCAATTATTAACTTTCGTACATAACCAGCCAACTTATAGGTACAGTTAAAAGCTAGCCGGTTTTTATCCCATATTATCCTACACCTAACAAAGTCAGTCTCTCTAAAACTGTTAAATATGATTTTCATGGTAAGTTCTGGACACCTGAAGCCGGTGTCACCAAAAGAGATGGAATGCGAAACACCGTGCGAAGAGTTGGAACGGCAGAAACGTGAACTACAGTTCGATATCAGCATGAGGTGCATCTCCCTTGTTCGGTGAGTTGTGAAATAATTAGGTACTTATTACCTTTATTAATGACGACTTCAACTCTAAAGCCATTTGCTTATAGAGAGAGTAAAAACGCCACTGGCAAATCAGGGTAAACAAATAGTTACATCGATCTTTAGCCGCCTGATAGCATATACTGGTGTCGATTCTGACATGATTCTCTAAATCTAGAAACTAATTTAACATCAGTCACTCCTTTTCATTCTGTATAGAGAATGACAAGGATACACTGTTGTCAAATTTAAGTTTAGGTTTAGAGAATCATGCCAGAATCGACACAATTGCCAGTCCTTGCAGTATAGTATGGTGGTATTACAAAAATGGCCTGAGTTCTTCTGTAATGTGGAAGTTATTTGGTATCCTCTTGTTTTGATGACTGAAGCTGAAGACGAATTTGTTTGCTGGTACCTACCTATTTTGTGTTTAGTAAAAATAACTGTTTAAGAAGGCAAAAACCATTTCAATAAAACTCGTCACGATTATTATGTTCACTTAACAAAATGCAGGACACCCTGGCTTTCACTCACACTTTACATCAAGTGAACTAGTCTCACGGGTCTCTTATAAAGAAAATCTGATTGATAATAAAGTAAAATCTGATGGCTACTAAATTACGACACGCCTTCGCTTTTGTTACATGGAACAATAATATTATCGGTCCATGCCTGTGCCCAATTAAATATCGTAACACATGGAGAGCGCGGGCGTAGCAGCCTCTATGGCTTCTAACTTGGACAAGACTCACGACGTGCCGTCGCTCCTATATTAGGAAACAATAATATTATCGGTCCATGCCTATATCCAGTTACATATCGGAGCACATGGAGAGCGCGGGCGTGGCAGCCTCTATGGCTACCAACTTGTACAAGACTCACGACGTGCCCTCGCTTCTGGCACACCTTCTGCAGCTCCAGCCCTGGAGGAGAGTCGACGACAAGGGCAACCTGCAGACCTTTAACTGTGAGTCTTAAATGCGTAACAGTCGATTCCCACCAGAACCCATCAGATTCGAGTGGTCTAGAGGCTCCAGACGGAGAGGAGACTCCCCCCGTGGGGAGATGCCATCTGCCTGGAATACCTCTAGAGGCACTCGCCATTTCTCAGCTTGAAGTCCCCTTAGGATCTCGCCGTTCCCAAACCCGGTGACGCTGTAAAGGTCATCTGCGACCAGCAGCATACACACTCAATAAAATAGTATAAATCTCATCAGAATGGCAGCAACGCGGTGGAAACTTTCAGTGACAAATAATTTTAAAATTAGATAGTTAAGACATTCTTACATATTATAAGTGCGCGCCTCGACTCTAACAAGAGGAGTAGATAGAAAAAAAGATTAGAAAATAAGAGAAACTTATTTAGGCGCATAGGCGAGACGTAGACGTCACCTTCACGAACGAGAGAAACGCGGCGTTATTATCGTTGTGCCACGTATTACTATAGGTACACTCTCATTTACAGTGCACAGGGAACGCTTAGTCCACTCTCTCTCTCTCTCTAGGCGATAGTTTTAAAGTCGCGTCAAGGACTTCATTACCCTATGCAGTGACCGAATCCTAAGGCGAACAAAATGTCGCGTCGCTACCCCACTACCGCAGAACTTGGCGATATTTTAACGAGGTCGCCCTGTAAAACATCATGCAACGGCGCTGCATGCTGTTGAAACGGTAATACCGTGCCGTTCATGTCATTCCAATAGGAATAATAGTCGTCTCGGGGTAGTTTACCTTGATGGTGTTACGTTGCTATTCTCTCGGCGCTCGTGAAGGTGTTGAATCGAATTCCGTGAGCATGATTCTAACTTTTACTCTTTGAGTCCCCGAAGATCACGGAACATCTTGACTTTGTCTAAGTTTAAACATAAATCATAGGTTGCGTAGAAGCAATTTTACATTTATAACTTGTTTTTCATGATTTTATGAAGATGGTTGCCGCTAAGTTTATTTAACTAAGTACAAAGTATGTGGTTAGCGCATTCGGCATGTGATCGTGAAAGTAAAGCAACTTTCGCAGTGGTCGGTCATTGGATGGGTGACCAAAAACTTATTATCTCGAGCTCCTCCGTACTACGGAAGGCACTTTGAGCCGTTGGTCCCAGCTGCGTCTGAAGTCGTTAGCACCCACCAATCCGCACTGGGACCCCTTTGTAGGTCACGGCGGCGCTATCTCCCTATTCCATCCATAGGAACGGCCTGTGACCCAGCAGTGGAGAAATTAATAGGCTGATGATGATATTTAACTAGTCATCACTGATAGTGGGTCGCTGGTCTCGGCCCGATGCTGACGAGTCACAGTTGCACCGCAGCGAGGCGCAGCTGTGGCTGAGTCTGCGCCAGCTACTGCTGGAGCCGCGCCTCCATCACCACTACGCCATACACGACGCCCGGCGAGACGCCTTCTGCCGGGTGCGTACCTTATTACTGTACCCTTAGTACGAGTTTGAGCTCACGAAAACTATCATAGTTTTCGTGATTGTAAATTATGTTTCTATGTCCATTTTGGTGAAAATAAATCAAATATTCTTAAAATTTATGAAGACGCAAATGATAGAATAGGCTAGTTGACCCTTTTTGGAAAAAGGTTTTAAATGGTTAATAAATGTTCTATTAGACCGAAAAAAAATGTATTGTATTTTTTTGAGACCTAAAAAGCTACAAATCTTTAATTTTAAAATAGATTTTTCATGGACATACAAAAACGCTATCGGCCATTTTAGTCTATAGATTATCTATGCTATGACGTTAACTGCAGTAAACACATAGAGAAAGGTAAATAAACAAAAACTCGTAAGAAAATAACTGACTTTATAATAAACAAAAGATGATTTCTAATAAATACCCCGAAAAATAAAATAATTATCATTATTGTATTGTACGAGAATATAAAAACACATCCTTGAAGATTCCAGGAAAGTTGTGAATTAAAAGTGCCGAAAGAAATTAACCTACGCAACTTTATTACACTTATTCATATGTTGTATCAGTTTTATGTTTATTACTACATTGTAATACTAAATACACTGTACTTACATAGATACCTTGTCGTTTCTCTGCTCCGCAGAGCAGAAATCGGGGTTTAGTGAAATAAATTCACCAACCATGAATGCGTCAATTCTTGGCAGATTTGTGCTTTCTGTTTTCTCAAAGCCGGCATCCATAATTAGTTTTTTCAAAAAAAAACAGTAAACGGAAACTTTTCTAAAGTTAAAAGTGTTTTAGGATAAATTAAGTCAGAAGACAGAATCCACCCACAGTAACACGCGAATGACATTTAGTTGTTTACCATATGAGACGTCACAATCATGGCGGATGTGGCGAATAGCGTTTTTAGTGTTTAAAAAATATAGACCAAAAAATATTTTTTTAAATTAAATTTCTACAGCAATCTTCTGCTTTTATGAAGTGAAATCGATATATTTAGGTTCCTTAGACCAAATACTTTAAGAAATAAACATTAATTTAATACAATTTGACATGAGTCAACTAGCCTATTTAAACACTGTTTATTTGTATTGAAACTAAAACAATAAAATCAGTACCCTTAGTACGAGTGCGAGCTCTCGAAAACTATCATAGTTTTCGTAATCGTAAACTTGTACTAAGGGTACAGGTTGCGGCACGTAAGTCTAGCGCTGAACAAAACGCAGAGAGGGGAGCTGCGCATGGGTACGACTGGAGAGACAATCTACGCAACGCGCAATGCTGCATCATCCCCTTCTCAGAGGTTGATCGCATCAGATGAAGCCTGTAAAGCTCCTATTTCCATAGGTATCCCCCACGAGTGTGTTTTAGTCAGTAAGAGTCCTATAGCCGGCTGTAGGGTATCCATGAGGATTTCTCACCCGCTCCCCTGCCTTGGAGGAAACAAAAAAAAAAGCGCAAGGTCCCGCGCACCTCGTTTCCCCCCAACACATCTTAATTTTACTTCTGCACAATAACGGTAAACGCTAGAGTTTCGTGCCGCGACTTATATAAACCATACACCAACGGATTGGAAATGATATGGAAGCATTACTCTCTAACAAAAGCCGCTAAAAACATGGTTTCTAAGTCTAGCTAAACCACAATACTAACGCGACACGCACACAGACAAAACAAAACAGAAAACACTTTGACCTATCAAATATCGACAAATGAATCCGGCTACCCATTCATTGGGTAAGATATTATTAAACGGAAATCCCAACCGATCCCATGATCGGCGTGTTGATCGCAGTTTTTCGCCCCGCCCCCACTGGATCACCAATTTGCGAGGAATCACTTTTTATTATATTCAGTATTCCATATAATTACTAATTCGTTGCCATACACATAGATAGGGCTGCCATCCGTCCGGGTTTTCCCGGATTTGTCCTAGTTTACGCAGCGTCCGGGGAGCGTACGGGCGGGGTTTTATTTGTAGTCCGGGTTTAAAAATTTACGGCAACGCATAAATGGCCCTTGGTGCTGCAGGTAGACCGCTAACTCTTTTGCCTAGATCAACATAAAAAAAAGTTGATTTGTAATATTTTAACTGTTTTTTATTGGTCTGTCCGGGTTCTGGGCTCCAAAATCCGGGGTTATCACGGGTCTTATCCTGGTTGCAACATTTTAGAGATAGCAGCCCTACACATAGATAATGGATTGAGCAACAGGTAACTACCTGCATAAAATTGTCTCGCACACTATTAAAACGTCTTCGTCGACTACACCATACATCACTAATGAGCGTATCGTAACTTCCTTTTTTGTTTAAATCAGTTTAGAGTGGGCGCATACGAGTGCATCTCCGGGCACCGTTATTGCACTTTAGCATCATCATACCTGTAGGCCTATTTGCTAACTGATTTTTGACACATTCAAGTGATAATCATCGAGTTATTTAGTGAGCCACTACTGCTTTATTTTAACGCCACTAAGATACTTGTTCTGAAAAGCATCGAATAAACCGGCTGACAGGGGCCAATCACATTTGAAACAGTCGCACGGACCGTCGATCGAACCACGGTAGTATTGCAACAAACCCACGACATGAACTTGGTCGTTCAGTCCGCTCCATGACTAATCCATTCACGATCGAACTTGTCGCATACGATCCAAGTCAGTGCGACGGTATGGCCCCTTTAATTCGTTATATATGTATAGATTCTTGGGGCAGGGATTTTTCAATTTAGTGCGGTCATGTCACTTGTGAACCCCCCCCCCCCCCCCTCCTTTTGGGGGCGCGTCCGTACATGGTGATATCTTACTTTTTGCCACAAGTACGAAGTTGTGGTTTATTCTCCAGCTCCAAGCTAAGATGACGGAGGAGCTGCTGGACCAGCTCCCGCCGCTGGTGGAGCTGAAGACGTTCCTCTGCCGGTTGTCTGTCGGCGACTACTCGAGGGCTCCAACAAACGGCGCCAGGAATCCTGGCTGTACACTCATCGAACTTGTTCCGCAGGTCAGAATGACTGTGTTTTATAGCTATTAACGGGATTGTTACCATGTACCTTGTTTTTTATGAGTATTGTGTGTCGGGAATAGGTGCGAGTGAATAGTGAGAATCATCGAGCGCAGTAAAAGACGACGTCAGAGGGTAGACCGATATGTCTGCCAATAACATCTACTCGCAATTACTTCAGTTACTCCGTGATCATAGCGCTTACAACAGTGCCGAAATATTGGAGACTCATAAAAAACAAGGTACATGGTAACAACCCCGTTAATAGCAATGAATGTTAGTGACCATGAAAGTTTAAAACAATATACTTATAAGTACCTATGTGTGTTTGAAGTTAGCGCAAGTCATGTCAGTAGAGACGTATCCAGCAGATGCGTATTTTAAGATCTGGTGCCCCAGGCCGTTTAATAATTGCACCGCCTCCCCGTAGAATTAGTAAATCAAATCAAAATATAAGTCGCTAACGAATGCTCTTATATGGCTTCTGCCGGCGGTAAATACGCCTCTGGCGTATTATCTATGGGTGTAAAGGATACGTCGAACTAAAGGAGATTGCTCAAATTGGCCTAAATGCACAAAAAATATTGACATACACGGTAATTCTTGGCGTTATTTATAATTTAATTTACAGTCATTATATTTCAAAGCAAAACTTTTTTATAATATATTTACTTTAAAAAGGACTTTTAATTTTACCGGTTTGGAAAACATACGAATCATTTTTAATGGCTGTGGGTGTAGTAACATTCAGCCAAAGACTAATCGAAATTGTTTATATAACATAAAAACAAATCTATTTTGTAAAGATCGATAAAGTAAATCATTTTTTTTATTACACTGTGGTATTAATATCCACAACTATATCATCATTTTCACTAGATGTAAATGTGCTCAGACAATTATTATAGATGGTAGGCGACATCATAAAGTCTATTGCCATACATTTTTCGCCAAACACCTCCATAAACACATTATAATCTGTATATATGTTAAACTTTAATGTATCTATCTATGGGCCTACGTTCCCTGACTATAAATTAATAAATAAATAAAATTATAAGGTGTGATACACTGATAACTAAAATATGGTTATCTTAAAAACATAACAAAAATAATGAAGCTACTGAATATATGGCCATAGAACCTAAATCTCTTAGCTTTCTTTGGTTAACGAGAGTTTAAAAATTCTCTCTTAATGGCTCATTCACAATCATCACACAGTTTCTGTCACAGAGTACATTATTATAACCGGAAATGACACCTGATTTTAAAAGTTACTCTTATGCATTAACTTTAAAAACAGACAACTATCTGTTAATGTACATGCTCTATATACCTGAATCTAATCCATAATTTCGGTACTTGGCTTGATTTCCCTAGTTTACTATATAACTTATTTGTTGTTTATTATTTTAATATGTTCAGTGTATATGGTTTATAGAAGTTCTCAGGGGTGTCCGTCAATAATATTCGTTTCTACAGTAATTTATACATAATTTCGAATCTAGGAATCAATTTTTCATGATTATTGGTTTTTAGGCCAAACATGTATGGAAGCTGAGCAATGTCCTTTTTTTGGAAAATACGCATTGAATTACGTAGGATTTTTTTTCTAGGGGAGGCAACCAGCCATGTGAACTAACATGGTATGAGGTATTTACCTACTTTAAGTAAGATGAAGTTCTTCAATAGGAGACTAGTCAAATTATACTTACCCATACTACTTATCAACAGATCAAAGCTCGTAGATACTTCATTATATTTAAGTACTCCCCAGTAGCTCGATGGCGCAAGTGGTTAGCGCGTTCGGTTGCGATCGTTGATGTTAAGCTACTTTCGCAGTGGTCGGTCATTGGATGGGTGACCAAAAATTTACTATCTCGAGCCCCTCCGTGCTTCCGAAGGCACGATAAGCCGTTGGTCCCGGCTGCATCTGCAGTCGTTAGCACCCATCAATCCGCACTGGGCCCGCGTGGTGGGTCATGGCCCAATCTCCCTATTCCATCCATAGGGAAGTCCTGTGCCCCAGCAGTGGGGACATTAATAGGCTGATGATGATGACTCCCCAGTAACATTCACCAGAAGGCAGTTCCAAGATTCAATATGACAAGTAATCAACTGACACAACTGTTCCAGATCAGAGAAGGCTACATGAAACAGGTGCACAAACGCACTAAGAGCATAGCCAAGTCCCAATTGGAATGTTTCCGTATGGACGGCTCGGAACAATCGCGCGGTATGGCGAGGAAGCTTCTAGAATCGTACACTAGCGATGTCGCGCTAGCTATGGACAGCGGCGGCGCTAAGTGTGCCAAATGTGGGGATAAAGCTAGCAAGAAGTGCTCTAGGTGCAAGACCGAGTGGTATTGTGGCAGGTAGGTAGTAACTATAGCGGTAATGACGTCATGAATCGACGCCATGCCGTTGATTCGTTCCAAATACACTGATCAGCGCGGTGACGTCATGAGCTGGCGCTATATTAAAGCAGTCTCGTGTTGAGATACTTCACCAACTGCAGAGCGCATACACCCGGATAATAAATAATTACGTCACAGTATTCTCACCAGGATAATATGGCGGCACACCAGTGCAATATGGCGTCCAAATCATGACGTCATTACCGCTGGCCAGGGTACTGGTGTATATTTCGGAATAAACCCAGAGTACTATGTAGCGATGTGTAGACAAGAAAGAAATGTATGAAACCGATAGCTCTTCGACGCGACGGGTCGCAGTACAACTCATTTCTGATTCTGCAGGTAGGTAGTTTATTTAACATAACACCCATTTCTGATTCGAGTAGGTAGTTTACCTAACCCTAACACCCATTTCTGATTCTGCAGGTAGATAGTTTACCTAACTACAACCCATTCCTTATTCTGCAGATAGATAGTTTACCTAACTTAAACCCACTTCTAACCCATCCATACTTAGGCGCCTTCCTCATAGGGTCGTTTTGTTTGTTTCTGTAGGTATCGAATCTGTACAGATTCTTTACCGAGAACCACTTTTGACCAGCTTGGTTTCGGTGCGATATTGTTTCGTTCTGTATGCTAAAAATTTGTAATGTGTATCTGTAATTCAATTGATCTATTTCGGATAAAGGTTTGACTCAATTACTTTTGGTTGTGTAAACTAATTAACAGTTTTCCAATTAAATAATTGATTTCCAGGGAATGCCAAGTGCAGCAGTGGCCAAAGCACAAAGAGATCTGTGACCAGCTTGCAAATCTTTGCATCTAAATGTTTCAATACTCAATTGACTTAATTATATATAAATATTCTCTTATCGTCGGTCCAAGTTTTAGATACTTCTCTGAATGAATGATATGATTAATTTTTAATTTAACACTAAGTAATTAAATAAAAGATAATGTCAATTTTTTTGGATTTTTATTTTAACTTAGCAATTACACCTAGGATCTAGCTCGAAGATTTTAGGTAGTCTTTAAGCACATCCAACGCGGGAGTTTCTTCACCGAAGTCCTGAAATAAATAAAAAACGTAGAATATAAAATATCAAGCCAGAATTTAAAAAGTTTACAGTTTGTTGGGGAAATATAAACAATTATTAAGATTCTGAAACACTATCGTTTAGGTGTAATAAAAGAACAGCTACGCTACGATATTGTAGAAAATACTTGGTAAAGTGACAAAATAACAAAAGGGGCAAATGTCTAATGGATTGATAAGGAGATGCGTCTAGGTTTTAATGAAGAATCATTTAAAAGGATGCTCACTTTGTAACGTTTTTGGCTAAAAAGTCTCCTAATAAGTAGCACTTATACCTGTTAAATTATTTAGTTGCATTAATACTACAGTTGTTCCCATTTAACATAAATTATTGATCATAACATTAATAACCGAACTAAGATCAGGGTATCACACATCACTAGGTTGGAGCTTGTACCAAAAGCACTACAAATAAAAAATTTCAACAGTTACAATTACAACTAGAGTTAAAAAAATGTTTGAGTAATAGGAAAGTTGCCTGTGCAACTGGCACGACACCATAGGGTTACTCAGTTTATTGTAGCGCTGATATATTTAATCACTAACAAATTAATATAACTTGCCAGTGTTCGTGCTAAGCGCAAAATTCAAAATTATTTTGTTCCAATCATTATCAAGTCAAACGATCGGATATTCTGAATAGAAAATGAAGTAGTAGAAAGTGCATCAATATTTTAGGAATTTTAACCAATTATAAAATAACTTTAATATGTATTTGTACTTCTCTATGGTTTCTTGACGTGATGGTGCTTTGGTCAAAATAAAGTACCCTAAAATAGTACATTTAGCTGGGGGGGTATTTTCATTTTACATTGCTATTGCTGTTCATTTTTATTCATCTTTTCATTCACTACAGGACCAGTGCTGTTGTGTGCTATTTATACATAGTAATATCTATGTGCTTTTGAAAGACACATACATCAAAAAGTACTATTTATGCTATGCTGACACCACATAAATGAGTATTTGCCTAATCAAATCTTTCTTCTTTTCATGCACTGTAGAGCACGATAAACATATACGGCTATCAAGTTTAGTTAGTCACATAAATATATAAACATATGTGGTGCTAGCATTATGGCGCGATTATACTTGGTTGTTAGCTCGAATAAGAGTACTAATATAATTCGGGTAAACGACTAAGTGTAAATGAATGGAGTCCATATTTGGGTAATTTTATTTTGTTTAAATGTCTTTCGTGCACCTGAATACGAGCTAATGAACAAATGTAGTTGCTGCATCACAATAAAGAATGAATTTGGGCTGTTTGTTATGTTTTACATGTAGTATTGGCCAAATAGCCTATGAAGTAATCATAAAGTATTTGTTGGAAACAAATTGAAATCTTGTAATCACTGGTTTAAAGCTATTTCAACTGATGGTCAACATAACCAGTGGAAACTGTTCCTTACATCTTGGAGCAGATATACTACCTAGAGCAGGTCAGCTATCTGCTGATATTTGACAATAATCTTTCTTATTTTCAAAAATAAAAGAACTTTGCACTCACTTTGATCACCACACATGAGCAGCCCACGATTTTTCTCGCTTTGCCGTCTTTGTCAATTTTGCAGAGACCAGCCCACTCGCCAAGTTTCTTATTGTTGTCGACCTATGCAGATTGCATTTTTGGTTACTAAATTAATTTGATAAAGCAATACACAAGAAAAACAAAACTTGAAAAACAAAATTGTGCTACAACAACACTTCACTTTCCTGCTTTGAAGCTCTTGGTTTCAAATCCCCATAAAGATTTCTTGTGTAACAAGCACAAATATATCGAGCCCTTACCGCCAAATTATCGTAAGCGACCCTCGCCAAATTATCGTAAGCGACACTTTTGTCGAAATGCGTTTTTTGTGGAAACTAATATTTTAAACCGTAACGGACCCATCTCTGTTGATATTTCCCTCCAAAATAACACCGTTATAATATAATAGAGGGAAATATCAACAGAGATGGGTCCGTTATGGTTTAAAATATTAGTTTCCACAAAAAACGCATTTCGACAAGTGTCGCTTACGATAATTTGGCGGTAAGGGCTCGATATGTTCACCCGATATGGTTGCAAGTTGTACAGCATTTATTAACATTTTTTAAAATATATGTTAAAAATTTCTTATTAATTCTAATAAAAAATTTGAAGATTTTCATATTACTCCTAATATAAAATTATCAACTTTATTATTTTGTATGAGTGCTAGGAAAGTTGACTCAGCATAGTGAGAGTCACCATAGGGGCACACAATATTAATTTTCGCTCCTTTGGCCTACAAAATCATTGAAGAATTTGTGGCTCGTGCGGAGCGAACAAAAGTCTTAGCATCAAGAGAAATATATATAATTTTTTTATAAACAAAAAAATTAGAAACATTATACATTAATACTTTGAATGGGAAAGATGCAGCTTTCACTTCCAGATTGCATGTTCAGTCACAACTTTTACATTCTTATAAAATTAATAGATTTACTTACCTTCACAAGAGGAATCTGATGTTCATTGCAAAGGGCTTGCACAAGCTTTTTGTATGAAGCCTCATCGCAGTTCTCAGCCAAAACACAAAGCATAGCTTGCCTCCTGTTGATTTACACAAAGATAAAAGTTTTACTATTATTTTAATTTGCTTTCATGTAGGTAATACTATTATAAAAATCATAAAAACAATACAATAATTATTGCAAGGTACAGATAATATAATAAAATGTGGGTCCACAAAGTCTGCAATATTGTGTGTTTATATAATACGAGGAACCACCTGCATGTTAGTCGGCATTTAGTTAGTTATTTTTACACAACAGGAACTTATCATTTTCTGGGATAGAAAGTATCCTGTCTCAATAGTCATATGCTATATGCCTACCCAATATCATTCTAATCCGCTCAGTCTTTTTTGCGTAATGGAATAAAAACATTCAAACATACAAAATCACATTTATAATATTAGTAGGAAGTAGGATTTTTAGGTTTGGCACAATATATTGGCACACAATTTGATATTATTATAATAATTATCATAATATCAAATTGATTTGATATTGTACACAAGTGTATCCTTGTCATTCACTATGCAGAGTAAAAATGCCCAAATCGACACTTAATATGTTGCCTAGTATACATAGAGTTAGTACATATTCTCACATTGTAATAATACCAACTAGGTACTTTGATAAAAATTGTTGCACACTTGGGAGGCCACAACCTTAATAATGCAAGGTGTATGGTACTATGTGTGTGCATCATTTTAGGCAATAAATGGTATCTACCACAACTGGGATGTTTGAAGCAGATATTTCCACACAAGACCTGACTAAAACAGCCAGTGCTTGTGTGAATATTGAGAGGAATTTATTGCCACCGTATACATTTATTCTCCTTTATTAATAAATGAACTAGTTACACATTGTTTTTTTCCACAAATGATTAAGTGATGTGACAAAACTGATATTGAGGGTGTCATCGATTTGTAGGAGGGGTCACACATATTACAATGGTTTCACAGACTTCTGTCATATGCAATCTTGAATAGTTTGATCACAGAGCAGACTGAATGACCAAGGTCATTGATTTAAATACTAATCAAACTGTGGTTTGATCTATGGTCTATGTGACTGTTTAATGTGAATGGCTGCTTTAAGACACTTATTTTAACTTGATTCTCCTAAATGAAGAATTGTAAAACCTTGGAAGAGCAGATATGTTCAGAGTATACTACAAAAAATTTTGGCACATACTTATTTCATACCTGTGTGTTAAAGTTATCTCAGTGAATAATGATGTCAAAGCTCTACAAGGTAAGAAGAGAAAACTTCTATAAAAGAACATTTATCATTTCAGTAGTATAACTATCAGTTTCACATAATAAGTTTGGTTCTAAAAAAACAGTTATACAAATGGCACTGCAAGGCAACACAATAATTTGCTTCTACCTTAATTGGCTCAGCTTTCCATCAGCTGTAGTTGAGTTGCAAGCTGAAATTTTTGTCACGTAAAGTATTAATTATTAGAAACACGTACACGAATGCACATGCATTTCCGCCTAAAATCTTTAGTGGGGAGAGAGTTGGGGGGAGACCGAGACCCCCCCCTCCTCCCCCCCACATCAAAACTACCCCGAAATTCAACTACAGCTGGAAATTGAATTAAGTACCCCTTAATTTGCTTGGCTTTTTGAATAGCATAAATAAACTTACTTGTCAAGAGCTTTAGCAGCTTCATGGAGTCCGTGTACAAGGCCACCGTGGATGAGTGCAGTCTTCAATACCTCCTGCAGGGCTGTGTTCACATCCATAGCACCACCGCTCAACACGGGGTTTGCTGGTACCTCACTGATAAACATTAAATACTATGTAAGATTGTAGCAAGAAAGGAAATTTATAACTTGTACAGTTATTTCCTGTAATTTATTTGGGGATTTGCTACAATTTCATCGACATATCACATGTTAAAATCGTAAGTTGTTAAGATTTACAGTAACTTAACAAAGACAAATATCCCTAAATTGCCTCAAGTGGAAACCAAATATTATAATAATGATTAATGGACATTAAATCAGCAAATTACTTTCAAAAGACTCCGTAAAACAGAATGTTTATAACCTAAAAACTGATCGAGGTTAGGATGAAGTAAACATTTTTTTTTCCGAGTCTAATTTAATACAAAATAAGATGAGAGCAATTCGTAAATAGAATGCATAGCATATACATTCATAATCAATTAGTCATTATATTAAATCACAAACAAAGATGCAAAGTGAATACTCACACATCAACATCAGCCATGATTATTTAGAAATTGCCGACCTGAAATACGTAATGGAACAAATTGAATGACACTCTCACTTAACATAAATTTCATCATATTCAAAAAATAGTTAGCGATTTCGCCAATAAATCAAGATTTCGAAAATTACACCACAAAACACTTTGACACTTTACCTTGCGTACCGGAAAAAGACTAGACTAGATCTGTCACTGTCACTTCTTGGCTGTTTACAAAGTTGCGTTCCCGATGCAACATGAAAAATTTATCCTGAAGGTCCAATTCCTTGCTTGTTACATAAATGTCGGTTATCTATTATGAATAATATTTTGATGAAATTTACATGTGTACTTTTAATAAACACATAATTGTAATGGTTTTTTACAGGCAAATTGCTTGTAATACAAGGCTTGTAAGTTTTAATGAACAGGGCATTGGTGTACGCTGGCATGGCGGATAGACACTGTAGGACGACATTCGCGAATGGCTTCGCAAAGTTTGAGCTACATTCGTGCTTTTCCAAGCGGTGTCAGTTCTTTTACGCACATCATAATGCAAGAACAAACACGTAGTTTTCTACATATTCGCGCACCCAGTTGCCAAATAACGATTGACGTCATTTTTCAAATAAAATAGTAATATTTTACAAAAAGCAATGTTTATGTATTCTCTATCCATGACAATCCATGTGCAAATGTATGCACACATGTGAGGGACCGGCATAACACTTATCCCGTTTTATTGGTAGCAGTCGGAACGAATATACGGAACACAACCCAAAGGACAAACACACTGGCCACCATGGTCACTCAACAGGCAGTCAATAATCGCGGCATATTTAAAACAAAACACTGACTTGCGCCATTGTCAATGTCATTTTATTTGCGATACAATTTTATTTTGTAGTTTTATTTGAAATTTATATGAGAAAATCATAGTGTTTTATTGTCTTTTCGGCAAATCTTTTTATAATTTAAAATGTTCTATCGGTTAAGTTTTTATTCACTTCTCTTAATAAGATCATGACGCGAAGTCCAGACATATTGTTTATGACTGAGTATATAAAAAATGTATTGTATTTTGCTACTACAAGACAAGGCAAAGTCCTCAAAAACACTATAGACACACATTTTTTCAGTATAGACGATATACTAATTTATGAGAACTATTATTCTGACTTCGGACCATTAAACTTAGGATGTGTCTATAAATACTGTAAAATATTGAATGAAAAATTAAAGCTTTATTTTAATAAGCAAGTCATAGTGCATTACACATCAACTGAGCCAAACAAGAAGGCCAATGCAGCTTTTGTATTAGGATGTTATGGTATTTTGTGCTTGAATTTGTGCCCAAGAGACGCTTTAAAACCACTTTTGGTACATGGGCAGAATTATCGGTAAGCTGAAAGTTTTATTTATTTATTAAACTTTATCGCCCACTAAAAATCTGTAAAAAAGTCTGTTAAAAAGCATTCTCTACCACTCAACCTACTTCTGCTTTCTACTAACTGCTAAAACTGTCACACAGAGCAAAAACAAAGAGGGGGTATATAGTTTGCTCTAAGAAATCAAGTGAATGCAGCCCTGTTTGCGTATATTCACTACTAGCAGGGCACCCGCGACTTCATTGGCGTGTTTTCCTATTCAATCCCCCATGTTACGGCAAAAATAGCCGATAACCGTCTGGAAGGTCACATTCACATCTATCTCTATTCCAAAATTCATCATTATTGAATCAGCTTTTTAGGCGTGAATGTGTAATGAACAAACAAACACTGTCGCATAAATTATATTAACTGCGAAGCTAGGCTAATTCGTGTGAGTGTAAGAAAATGTGATTCACTATTTCACTCGATAGATATGTTAATTCGCAATCTAAATAATATAATTTATTTGTGTAGCTCATTTCAAGATGCCACGCAAGGAGAATCCCAGCATACCATAACGCTGATCGACTGTCTACAAGCGATGAAAAAAGCACGTGACTTAGGATTATTTAATTTGGAGGATTTCAACTACGAAGAGTATGATCGTCTTGATAAAATACAAGGCGGAGACCTTAATTGGATAGTCCCTGGTAGGCAATTTATGAATTTCCATAACATCCCGTTGACAAATAGAGAGGTAAAGGTACATAATATTAAAAGTTCTGTGAAATAACTTACGACGTTCGCTGGGTAGTCGGTAAATACGGTTTTTTTGAATAACCTTTTTTCCAACTAAGTTTTAATAAAATGAAATAATTCCTTCCTTCCTTCCGTCTGCTATCTTTGCGTTTGGATTTTATCACCACCTAACATCAGGTGAGGTTGAATCATTTGCCTACCTAAATATAAAAAAGAACTGAATAAAATTAACAGAGTATCAGTTTATAGTGTTCAAGAAGGTTGTTTATACATTATTACAGGGAAATTCCTTGCATTCATTGGTCCAGTCGACTTCAGTCTGTCTTTTTACCACCCTCCTGAAATGTACATTGATTACTTTCGAGATAACGGCGTAAACATTGTTATAAGACTGAATAAGAAACTCTATAATGGAAAAGTGTTAGTATATACTCCTAATTTTTAATTTAAAAAGTATTAAATTGTTTTAAACTTTCATAGTAACTACAATAAAGCAATTTATATATTTTTTCCGTGATCACGGCACAGGACTCGCAAAAGCAACCCTAATAGATCAGATACACAACGACACTGACCCGATAAGCAATTATTTGTATCGACATTAGTGCAGTGTTGCCACCTTGGTGGTTTTTCCACCAGAACTGGTGCTTTTCACGGCTTCTAGTGGTATATTTTCATTATCTAGCGGGTATATTTTCTTTAGTGTTTTTAGTGGTTTTTTAACATGAAATCTAGCAACATATTTTTAAGGGGGAAATCCCCTAACTTTCCGAAATTTCATAATGTTCTATGGTTACTCTTATGGTTACAGGGGAATTCCTACACGCGTTTGTCTGTTAAGGGCTTCCTTCAATCGTTCATACTGTTTCAGGTATTAGGTTCGCGTTCATTGTATTGTTAAAAAGTGTAAAAGTTTGATTTGATAAAAACGTTTGTAACAGTGTGTGAACTCCTGAAGCTGTATGTTTAGAGTATTCAATTATATGTTATTATGGAAATTCTATTCAAGAAAAAGAATTACATACTAAAGTATAGAAAAGAATGGGAATCACTCTTAGAATTCCAAACCTGGCTTAAACCTTTAGCAGGTGTTGATGCGAAGGCGTTTTGTTCATTTTGTTAAGCAGAATTATTAGCAAGAGTAGTAAATTTGAGAAGACATGCTGAAACAAAAAAGTAAAAACAAAAAATGCAAATTCTATCCGGCAATCAATAGATATCATTTAAAAAACACAAAATACTCTTTCAAAAATCCACTACAACTACAACCAAACATCTTCAGCTTCGACATCGGATTCATTGACAGACATTTAACAATATTGAATTTTAAATTTCACATTTTGTTTAAGATTTATTTCTTGATTATAAATAATGAATGTAAATACATATTTACCTGGTTTTATTTCATTCTCTAGTACTACTAAGGTAACACTCGGAAAAGTTTTAAGTTAGTAAAAACAATATTGCCATTTTTTTTAAATAACAAAATTTTACTAATTTAGAACGACTGCGGGATACAGTTATTTCTGTAGCGTATCATACATATTCACTGGTTTTTTATTTAAATTAGGGTTTTTTGTTATCAGAGATGTAATTGTAATTTAGCGGATTTTGGTGTATTTTATTAAATCCAAATTTTTGAAATCTGGCGGTATTTTACGTTTGACTTGGCGCCTTAAAAAAATCCAAGGTGGCAACACTGCATTAGTGTAAACATCTAGTGTCCCGGTTCAAGTATATTAGCTGTCCGTCGTACGTCGTGTCTCCGCGAATGCATCACGGCGGACGCTGAGCGATCAGCGACATCTGAATCTGAAACATATTAACGTGTCGTAGCGTGTCGTGAAGCATTGGTTTCAAGCATTTATTATGGGTTAGAGAGAGAGAGAGATGTTAGAGCGTCGACACGACACAACACGTAAATATGTCTCTAACCATAGTAAATGTATGAAACCGATGTGCTTCTGGCGCGCCACGACACGACAGTACACTTTAATATGTTTTTGGCCTAAGTGTCGCGGCAGTGGACTCACAGAGACAGTCGATGTATACACTACACTGACCCCTTATTAATAAACGAGGAATATGCTTGACTAGTTACGTCGTGTTTTGTTCATGTCACTCATGTGGCATTTGTCATTCAATGAACAGAGACAAAACATGGAGTAACTAAGCCAAGCCTATTCTTTGTTTATTAATTTGATTATCAATTGTTTTTATATTTCTGTATGTAATATGGGTACTACGCCTTAAATAAATGTTTATTAATTTTATTATTAATAATAATGGGGCAAGTGCCTAGTGCCCGGTGTCGTTGTGTTTGTGATCCATAAGAACTTGTCTATGGTAAGGGTAGAAATTATTCAACAAAGAGCCATTTATTTAATGTTTTGATGTATAATTAAAAAATGCTTCGATGCTATTTTTATATTAAAATTAACAATTAAATTTCTTACAATAACAGGTTCAGTAACGCTGGCATAACTCATTATGACTTGTATTTCCCGGATGGATCTTGTCCGCCTCGTAATATCTTATTCAAGTTTCTTCAAATCAGTGAAGATTCAGATGGTGCTATTGCGGTCCATTGCAAGGTTATGAATTTCAATGAGTCTTTGTTTAAGTAATGTTAAATATAAGTAAACATTCATTGTAATCTCCTTTAAATAAAGTATAAACATCCGTGAGCCACTGACATGCAAATGATATCTATTAAGCGATTCGTGTAGTGCGTAAAGATTCATGCAACGAAGGCCGTGATTTTCTTAGTAATTAACTGAATTTACACAAATAAATTACCCAAGTATGGTCTAATAAATAATTTGTCTTTTTACTGATTAATCAATTCGTTCAGGCAGGTCTAGGGCGCACTGGCTCCTTGATCGGTTGTTATATCATCAAGCACTATAGAATGACAGCCCGTGAAGCTATTGGCTGGATGAGGATTTGCAGACCGGGCTCAGTCATTGGTCAGCAACAGGTAAAAACTTCATAAAGATGTAGCTCTATGGTCTAACTTTATGGTCTTATAAATTCTTTCTTTCTAATAATATGATTATCCTGGTTATTTATATAAAGGATTGGTTAGAGCAGCTGGAACCATGGCTGATGAAGCAAGGAAATTTTTATAGGTAAACAGGTGAAGACTTTGTTAATTTCACTATTATGCTATTGGTATGAAATTTTGAGTCTTTTTAAAATAAAATTATGTTCTAAATAAGAAATCGTATAATTTAAATCAATTAATTGTGTGACAGGAAACGCACGTATGGAAACGAGGATAGATTTCCAACTCATCCATTTGGTGTTTACTCTATAGCTGAGAAGGTATTAAAGCATAAGCCGATTGTGTTCAATAAATCATCATCGTCATCTCCTATACAAAGACAAACTCGTTCTGATATATCTCCACCATTGAGAATACAAGTTTCAAGACCTAAAGAAGGTAGGTATAGGTACTCTGTGATACTTTTACGTAGGTTAATACACTACTTAAAGAATAAAATAAACTATTAATTATTTGAAGGCTTAAATTAACTATTTTTGTGCAAGTGATATGAGATTTTATTTGTATTCAAACAGTGTTATTATTAATCGTTTCTATGCTTAGTAAATTTTAAATCGATTGGCAATAACACTGTTTGTGTTATTAATTTGTTTTTTTTTTTGTGTGCAACGCATAGCTAACATGAGCAGTGTTATTGTTAATCGACACAATTTTTGGGTTTACACGTTCCTGATACATTTATTTTATAATGCAGATCACAACGATGATGAGGAGATATTTATCTCATCTTGTGATTTAACATCGGCCACTAAACAATATACAGCAATAGCCTTGAAGGGATGTGTAATAAGGAATTTTTCCTTAGCAGAAGATTGCAACTTCGATGATCGTTCCGTTAGCGAGGAACGAATATCTTTTTGGAAAAAATATTTTTGTTGTCAGTCGTGCATCCAGAATTGGAATGATAGTATCTGGTTGTTAGCAGTGCGTTGCACAAAGTTCGCGCCCAAGACATGTCATTCGAATAGTTGTTGTATTTTCTTAGACAAGGTACGTAGAAAATATGCAAACTACCTTTTCTTAATTATACTTCTAATTTTAATCAATCTTCTAAACAAAGGTTTAAACTATTTTGTCGTAGCTCTTCATAAGACGGTCGACAAGGACGCAAGCGACAGACGTATGAGGAAATCAAATGTCAAACAAAACAGTTATGCACCGTGAGTAATATTAACTTTACTCAAATATATACGTTATGATGCATTTATTATTTTTGTGCATTATCAACAGCGATCAGAAAGATACAAATAGTATAGCACGACGAGGCGTCAATGGAGGTGGTGACCCACGTTCAATATCTCCATCTAGAGGAAGCATTGCCCGTACTTCGCAAAGTAGTGCCAAATCAAATGTAAGTTAATCAAAAAATATTGCACAATAGTTTATAGTATCGAATAACCATAGGAAGTGATTTTTAACAACATTACAATTCCTTACTGCGTTCATTTAAATACCTCAAAGTAAGTACAGCCGGAATACGATAAGTCTGCAGTGGACAGACAGTAGCAAAAATTAAAACTTTGCACATGGCAGTACTGATTATAGTTAAATTGACTTTCCCCGATTCTTTATTATTAACCGACTTCAAAGGAGGGAAGTTCTTAATTATGTATATAAATTGTTGTTCACACATTTATAAGCCGATTACGATGATTAAATTTTAGGGTTGCGTACTCAAAGGGTAAACATGGAGCCCTATTGCTGACATTCTGTCGTTTGTATGTCTGTTCGTCTGCCACGGGTGTATAGATCGTAAACGAAATGAGTTACAGATCTGGCTTTTTATGTGGAATGCTCAAAGCCGAATTTTTGGTTCGAAATTCAATTTTATTATTTTTAGGGGGGTCTCATATACGTTAAACATCATAGGGCTCATTGAGTAGGATATGAATAATGTCACGTATCAGGATGGAGTTAGAAATTATAATGCATGTTCACACTTGACAATTCAACTCAACTGTCCCTGCCCGGAGCGTCCTTAGAAAAGTGTAGTCGTAAAAGTTGACATTTTTAAAAACATTTTTGCTACGACTGGTCAATCTCAAAGTAGAAATTAGTGACCAGATTATTGACTTTGCAAAGTTATCGTAGTTTGACAGTAACATTTACATTTTATGCTAGAGTCCAAGCTTCCTTATCTAAACATGATTATAGAAATAAAAAAGAAACAATTGTACCGGCAAAAACGAACTGAAAATTCAATTAACTACTGACAAACAATCTTAAAAAAGTAAAAGTTTAAATGATATCCTGTTCTAAACATTTAAATCTGTATAGGTTTCATTCGCTCTCAAAATTTTAAACTATCTATACAAAATATATTGCTTAAACTGTAATCTTCTTAATAAAGGAATCACCAGCGAGAAATAATACAATGAACTATCAAACACAAATCCCAACCTTCAGAACTTCACAAGGACCTGTTATTAAAACCATCAATGATGCACGGGTAAGAGAACCAATTTTTATAAATACAGAATACGAATCTTTTTTTAAATATGTTGATTTTGTATAATACTTACTGTGATGCCAGAATTTCCTCATGCGAAGCACGATTGGTAGAGAAGACCGTGCAAGAGGTCTCAAGGCAGCTGTCACTGTTACTCCAACTTCCTCAAGGCCCCCACAATACGACATTGGAAAATTAGCAATAAATAGCACAGCTCACGTTATGCCTACCTCATATACTTCAGGTTCGTGTCCTTACTTAAAAGCTATTAGGAATATATATATTTGTATAATTCAATAATAGAAACATTGGAATAACTAATACTTAAGAACTACTTAATGGTTCAAATTTAAGTTTTAATTTGTATAATGGTATACCAAGACCGCAACTCTGGTCGTTTTGTAAAACTAGATAATCAAAAACAATTCCTACAAACTGAACAGAGCTTGTGCATTTGTTATGGTTATGAATAAGGATACTAACTAAAAAAAATTTTACTAGAATTTTTTTTAGTTAAGTGTCATTGACCAGGCAGCAGAGGGGACTCGAACCCTCATCCTTTGCTTTGACTATTATGCTACTGCGGCGCTGATGGCAGTATCGAATTATTCTCTAGCCTATTTTAAACTGCAAGACGGCGCCATCTCTTAACATTGTAGGTAACCCACAATGTCAAATGAATACCTTTACAAGTATTAAACATTTGAAAGAAGAAATAGCAATTAACCTATAATTGCATTGTATTTTTAATTATTTAAGCATGTTAACTGCTTTTTTAGAGGTATCTAGTAAAATTTTCTTTACTATATATCTTCATGAGTAGGAAACCACAGACCGATAAAACAGTCGTTTTAATTAATATTAAACGCTATAAAGGATATCTTAGCCCTCTATTATAGATTGGAAATTTTTAAAATGGGTTGTCTAATGTCATACTAATAATAATTCATTAAACTCAGATCTTAACTATTTTCCATATTGTGTTATTTGAGTAATTCGATACTTTTCTACGTTATTAGCAACCAGGTGTGTAACACAGCCGCAACACCGTCGGCGACTTGGTCGGAGTCCGAGTCCACCTCAAGTAAGAATGCATGAACAAAGCCGAGCCACTAACACACCGCCGTCTTACGCTGGAAAGTTTTTATTAGAAGATGCTTCAAAAACTGTTCTTAAAGAAGAATTATCTCGTCTAAAACGTAGGTATTCTTTTTAAGTCCTTTTTTATATCCTCAGTGTTTGAGATTATTCGACCAAATATTCATTTTTTTATAACTAACCAACAATTTATATTCTAATAATTCAGTCATCAGAAGTTCATTCAGATAAGTTTATTAATACGACAAATTTATGTTGCATAATGTCGTCCATGTCCATAACCACACCAAACTTTGTCTATGGTGCAAATTTTATCTTTTTTTTGCTAAATATTTTGTCTTGGTCTTGGTTTATTTCCTGCATTCTACATTTATAGTGATCTGTGCCTGCATTGCAGTCCGCCGTGCAGGATTCAAGACGCATCCTGCTTGGTGATTCTAATCAAAAATAGTAATTTGATTTTTAACTCAACACGCATCGGGTGCTTTACTAACTCAAGACTGTTTCTGCCTTTAACCTTATTAAACACAATCTGAAAACGCGTGTTCGGTGTTTGGTGATGAAAACTTGTAATACACAAAGGTTTAGGTCGGCCTTTGCTTACATCCAAAAAGGTAAACTAAAAAAACAATATTTCATAAATAGAATTGTCACTGTCAGTCATGTCATGACAATATGTCAAAAATGACAATTTATCTAGAAATAGGTTATAATTTTATTATGAAATATTACTGCTTAAATATGTATTTATAAAATTTCATCTCATCAATCGTGTTAGTGCTAACGCCACCTAAGATGGGTGCATTAGTGACGCGAGCACTGAGACCTATTAGATCTTTTAATATCGAAAATCGTGCTCACCGGGTTATATCTAAAGAAAAGCCAGTTCCTGCACCGTCGTACCCTCAGGCTTTAGAAGATTTAAAGAGGACTTTGGAGGCGGTGCCAGATATAGATGAGAAGCTTGATAAGAAAGACCCAGCACTGGACGACAGGCTTAGGAATGTTTATGTAACTTCACATGGGAGACCCGAAGATGATTTGACGCGTGAACGTAGGGAGCAAAGTTCGACGAGGTCTTTGCCTCAAAGTAGAAAATCGGTTGAAGAATTTGAGATGGGTTTTAAAGAACCTGATCAAATAAAGTATGGGAAAACAACACTTCGACATGCCATTAACTTCATAGGTGCACATCAAACAGATCCCAAACAAGTTACACCGTTGAAAATAGCTTTCGAGTATAAATTAAAGGAGGAAGATGTTCAAGACATATTGAAATATTTCAAGACATTTGAAGTTTACATACCTAAAACAAAAAAGAGTGCTGCAGTCTTTGCCGGTCCTTCCACAACAAGGAAACAACTTGAGGCACTTGATGTAAAGGAGATAGACTCCAAGGAAACTGCTGATAGTAAAATAGTTGATAAAGAGAATCAAGTGAAAGGAACAACATAGTGCAATTAAATTTATAAAGGAATAGTTTGTTTTTCAATATAATGTTACAATTTTATTGTAAAATACTGTTGGTGGATTGTGGTTTCTCAGGAAACTTAAGTCAGATGTATATGGTATAAGGAAGATAATTTCCTTTCAATTGGATGTGGACTTACTGCTTCAGTTTGTTTATGAATGAAACCTTGTAAGAGATTACATCAGCCAGAGTCAGTTTCAATATATTGAATAATATTTAGTAATGTACAGTAGTTTATTATGATGAACCATTACCTTTAAAAAGTTGCCATAGTTCAGCTAGTTGGGTTACTTAACTGCTGCAACAAGAGGCTTTTTACCATTAGAGTACAATTTAGTTTTGAAACAATGCAGTTATCACACCCAACATGTCTTCAAAGTTTTGTTACCATCAACTTATATTGGTTTACTATGATTTTATCATTGTTTCATTTGTTGCTGGCTGTATTAAAGCTACTGCAAAACATCTATTTAAAATTTTATAAGTTACATATTTATTTTGTTTTTATGTTGTTATATAGAAAGCGAAACTTTTTTAATGTAACCTATTTTATTGATGTGCCTGGGTCATAGAATTAATAAAATGAAATGGAAATTTTGAAGGTCTTGCCGAGCCTCTATATTTTATTTATATTTAATAAATGGCAGGTTACTATAGGTAATTATTCATCAATAAATTATAATACTGACCTCATACAAATGAAATGTGATTTAGATTTAGAAAAAATATAAATGTTTTTTTGGATGAAAATGTTTTATTAAACTACTTGACCGTCACTGAAAGCTTTATATTGAGATAGCACTTCCGTTTCCCGTCGAATTACCATCAGTTTCCGTACTTTTATTCACCTTGTATCCGGTCCAGTGGCGACACCTGGCAGAAGCGCGGCCATTTTTGTTTTCCTAAGTTTTGACAGCGCCATATTAACTCATTGGCGTTCTGACTCCCGTCGAAGCAACACGTCTTCAATCTGAGCGATCGTTGTGAGATTTTAAAGGTTTTATTATTATTAAGTGATAAAACTGTAAGTAAAACTATTTTATTTTAACGGTTTTTGCCGTTCGTGTTATTCCAAATAGGTACTTTACGTGTTAAAAGTGAAGGAACCGTAAGTAAAACTATTATTCTTTTTTATAGTTTTTGCAGCCCTTGTGATAAGGGATATTTAAAACAAATATGTTAAATTGTGCAATACGCTTGTTTGAAAAAGTAATAATAAGCCGTGAGTAAAACTTGACGGCAATTCAAGGTGCGTTTTGTTTAAAAAATTAAAGTACCTACATTAAAGTAAATTTTGCAATACTTTACGTCTGTCTTGGTCGTTTATCATAAAAACTATTTTTAGAGGGTTTTCTCTTGGTACTCAATTAATGTTTCCGTATAAGTAAATGTGAAAGTAAGTTGGTAAATGTATTACAAAATACTTAATTAAATTGTTTTACAGTTTAGAGTGAAGGAATATCGGTCAATATTGACGTTTCAGCCGCCGACTGACTGGCATTATTGGCAAAAACAGCAAGATGTGTGGATCTAGTCATTATTGTTCTTTGAACAGCTGCAGTAATAATTTGTTGAATTTGTCGTCTTCTGGTATAACGAAAGCGACATCGCTGCCTCAAGAAAAATAAGCGAGCTTGATATTCCAGCCCTTTTATTAAAAGATCGTTCGAGGGGTAAGTGAACCATGTACAATCTTAATAAGGTATTTCTAATGTCGATATGCCGTTTTCTGAACATGGCCAGCTATCAATATCTAAAGGCTTATGAATAAAAAGTTCTAACATTTTTACTGACCAATACACGTAATAAAAATTCTCATATGAGTCGTGTGACTAAACTAAGATAAAGGAACGCTCTGTTCGAAAGACATACAACGTTTATTTTAAATGATATGCTGATGTAAATTAAAAATTATAATCATAGTCCAGGCTTTATCAACCTGGAAACAAACAACGAGGTAAAGAAGTATGATGATAATTTATGATATATCACGTTCCTGACATTAATTTTCTTTCAGCAATTGCATATTTCTAAAATAAAAATGAATCATCGCGGGAAGGCACCTGCTCAGTTAATTTTAATAACGAAAGTGATAAGATAACAGAATCGTTTCTTAGGTCTTTTACAGCTAGCACAAAGCTAAAAAGTAAAAATTAAAGCACTGCTTAAAAAGTTAGTAATCTCTGTGATGGAGCACCACTTAATAAGATACCATCTATGAGGTTGTTTTTCTCGTATTAAGTAAGTATTTGTCATGGATTTAAGTGATTGACATTTCATCAACCTAATGAGCAACTCGCGCAGAGGCAAGTGATATTCATAAGCTTCATATCATGAAGCCCAAGGCGTGTCAGGACATGCCCTCCCATGGCGTACCTACACATATGAGTACCGGTGGCAAATCACCCTCGCGGGGTGCATATTATATATAATTTGTTTCCACTACGTGGAATCTTATTAAATGCCTCTAATGCCTTGCCTACATATACGAGTACCGGTGGCAAATCACCCTCGCGGGGTGAATATTATGTACAATTAGTTTCCACTACGTGGTACCTTATGAAATGCCTGGAACCTTATGAAATGCCTCTAATGCCTTGCTTACATATACGAGTACAGGTAGCAAACCACCTTCGCGGCGTGCATATTACCAAAACTCTGATGACCGCCCCTCGCGGGGGCATATTATGTATAATTTGCTTCCTCCGTATGGAACTCATTATGAATAAGGACTTGCCTTCCATGGCTTGCCTACACATACAAGTACCAGTAACAAAACATCGTTGATAGAGAAATATCCTCATCAATCTTATAATCGCCCTTGTGGGGTCATATCACACATAATATATTATTTCCATTACGTGAATATCAATATATGTTCTCCTTAGAAAATGTTCGCTTATGGAGTTCGTACTATTATGTAAGCACCGGTAACATACGACACTCGAGTGGAGCAAATTATGCATAATTTAACATGTAGTCTATTCGTGATTCATAATTTATTTTTGTGACCATGGGGTCTGTAAAAGTGTAAACGATTCGAAACATTAAAAATAAGTAAATTGAAAATATAATAAATGTCGCTTGACATAATTCATTACTTCCATCGCGTGGAAATCCATACATCAACGCAACGCAACATACCCGCTCATGGCTTGCGTACACACATAAGTATCGGCTATAAACTACCCTCTTAATAGACTATAAAGAACGAACATCGAATGTTGACGTACCCCGTTGGGAAGTGCAATGTACGTGGTTTTTAAGGTGTCGCATACTCCGAGGTCTTGGGTTCACCCCGGTGGGGCAAATCATTGTATGATAAAAACGAGCATCTGTGCTTAAGTTTTGGTTGTTAACAAATATGAATTCAAAATCATACTAATCTATGCATCATCATTATGCATTTCTAGGCGTTAGCCCATAACACAAGCCTTTTAATGCCCATTATAAGGCTAGGCTAATTGGTGTGAAGTGTTGACTCGATCACTACGGTTGTTCTACCGTAATATATAATACATTTCAAAAGAAAAAGGAATATCGAAACAATTAATGTTTGAAAAAATTTAGTGCATGTAAGTTGATAAATTGGGAGCTCCATAAATAATTCTTAAATAAATTTAATGGTATCGCATGCCATTCAAAAGCTTGTTTATCTAAATCCAATATATATCAAACTCCAATCTCAAGTGCAGTACACTATAAATATGTAAAGAATTCTAAGTTTTCTGCAATTTAAGGACTATCTGCCAGATAAATAGATGATAACATATTTTCTCTTGAAAATAACAAAAGTAAACCAAATGGGTTGCTCACTCTTTTCATCGCGTAATGAGAGAAACTTGCAATATTAGAAATGTCGTGTATGTGGTGTCTGAGGTGGCCAACATGATCATTTTGATATATAAGTGGTGCTATGTACTGAAGAAAGATTGCACGATCTACCAAATTCTTGAAAGGTTTTGAAGATCATTGTATGCAATTATCCACTTTATGTTATTTTAGTAAAAATTACTGAAAACTGTTCTTAACATTAAACTTACGCTTTCTAACCTTGCCACGACTGTCTGGAATAAATATACTTCAAACCCTACGCATAGTACATGCACACCTCATGTAAGCTGTGTAAATCTTATAAATAACTAAATCTTTATTTAGTATTAAGTAATACATATAAATGACTCAGATCTAAGAACTGAAAAACAAAAGGAAAAATTATAATCAATTATAGATTCCAGGATGGCAAATGAATTTCATAAAATCTGGTCTGAACTTCGTAATAGCATAATTTATCACGGCAACCCAGCAACAATATAAAAACTATACCAGAGAATTTCGTTGTAAAAACGTAAACTTCAGAAGTTGATCGGTTTCAACATTTTTGTCATTCCGTGGGGTTGTATCAACCACTCCCTACTTCTAACAATAATTATGAATTCACTGCAATCGACCTTGCAATCACTTCCCGCCAATCTAATATGAAAGCTTGGGAAGTGTAGTTGAAGAACACGGCTCTACCACTTAACTTCAATCTTCACTCCAATCAAATAGATATGCTAGCACTACGCTTTTCAACATATTCTACAAAGAGCGACAGCTCTGTCTTAAACAGCTATGAGATGGCTGGGAAACGCTGGCTTGCGTGGTTGCATTGGTCTAGGAACAAGAATGTTTATCGGAATAATCCCGCAAGTTGTGGACTCGGCTCTGAACTAACACGATTTTTGAGACTTATTTTTAACTCGTGACTTATCTTAAAATAAGTACCATTATTTTAAATAAGTCGGTAGTTTTTACATGATATACCAATGGATGATAAGTCTAATCACCTAAGCTCACCTGTCTTGGCAAACACATATATTGAAGTCGATTGTTTTTAAAGAATCAGTCCGTAACCTACTATTCTGTGTCTATAAGTTAACTTATTTCCTTTTCTTCAATAATGTACTCGTTGCATCATAATGATCTGTTTTAAATACTTCGTCATATATGTTGTTCTGAACGTCATACAGTAATTATGCTGCGTTCAGCATGTGGTACACATGACTTGTTTCTACTTCAAATTATCCCGAATCATTGTATTTGTACCGACGAAGATTAGTTTAGCCTTGTTTTGGTTCAAAACAGGTGAAAGTAGTTAAAGACAATCCGATTGGTGACTTGTACCGAATAATGGTAATCGTAAGTGGGACCCTGATTTTTGGTACTTAAGTAAAAAGTACAGTCTTGTAAAATGTAAGACTCAGTATCGAACAACTTTACATCTTTTTCTCGCGTTCGTATTTGTGATATACAAAGATACAAATGAATGCTACACAAGGAAGCGTCCGGTCATTAACAAAGCAAATATATGTAGAAGTATATATATATATATACGTCGCGAGTTTTAAGCAAAGGAATATAGCGATCAGCTAATACATATGATAAAGCAGCTTCGTAAGCTTGAAGAAATTGAAGGCGTGATTCAAATAATATTATTTGATTCATTTTTAAGCTTACTCGTTTCTTTATACAGTTTCATATAATCTGATAAATGTTAATATTTAAATTTATCATAAATTGTCACATTGGCGTATATATCTATGTACGTGGCGATCACCAGGCGATAACAAACAGGTCTCAATATAAAGCTTTCAGTGACGGTCAAGTAGTTTAATAGCAGCATTTTACCTGAAATAAAATGCATATTAAAATACTTACCTCACTGAAAGCTTTCACTTTAAATTCTGCCTGGTGAAATAATTGAGCCAATGAGTTAATATGGCGCTGTCAAAACTTAGGAAAACAAAAATGGCCGCGCTTCTGCCAGGTGTCGCCACTGGACCGGATACAAGGTGAATAAAAGTACGGAAACTGATGGTAATTCGACGGGAAACGGAAGTGCTATCTCAATATAAAGCTTTCAGTGAGGTAAGTATTTTAATATGCATTTTATTTCAGGTAAAATGCTGCTATTTATTTTAATAACATCAACTATAATAATCATATAGTAGGCAATATTATATTAGAAGGTTTCTTGTCATCTTTCACTAATTCTATGTATGCTTCCTTCCACCATGCATTGTGCATTGAGACGGCTCAGTCAGATAAGTTATCTGGAATTAAAAGGTTGGTCATTAAAAACAGGAATAAAAAACATTCACCTTACTGAATACTAGGGGAATTCCTTTGGCTATTGATCTCTATAGCTCAATGATTAGTGGTTTTGGTCTGTGATTGGGAAATTAAGCAACTGTGTATTTCTTTTATCTCAAACTCTGTTCTTCATTGGGTATGTTAGCCATTGGTTCCGGCTGCATCTTCAGTAGTTAGCATTCACCAATCCACACTGAGGCCTTCTACAGAAGATCTCCCAAGCTACATAGACAGGGAGCGAAAGAAAAACATAGAACACGACAGCTGCCAGAATTACAGTGTAATAAGTACTTATTATTCTATTGAAGTGAGTGATGCGCTAGACATTGTCAACCCAAACAATGAGCGTAGATTCCCAGTCGCCCCCGCGGGGACTGCCACCAGAGGCAAATGGGAATAAAAAAACTGAAGTGGCGGATTGCCACCGGAGGCAAATAGGAATTAAAAGTCTTAGGATTTAATTCCCTTTTGCCCCTGGGGGCAATTGGATATACTTATACGCAAATGAGTTGTAGCTATGTGTGCGATTTATACACTTATACTGCACACTTATTTTTTTGCCAACCTGATAAGTTACAGTGGGATTCAAACTAAATGGAGGTTGTGAAGTAAGCCGTTAGCTCAAGTCGCGGCGCAGTAAACGAAATGAAGGATGCTGAAGGCACGCGCGGGATGTCATGTCACTGAACTGAAATGTATCTATGCAGAGTGGTGTTCACTGTCACTGTTAACTTGACAGCTATAAAGTTTGAATCGCACTTAAAGTATGTAGTTATTAAGAGAAGCAGGGCATAGCGGGAAGTCACCTCCACCTGGAAACCACAGTTTTTTTGGTGGTGTTGTTGTTTTTCTCGGTGAGTGAAGTTCATGTACTCCACGGGGTAGAGGCACGCAACGGCGCAAATTATATTTTTTATCGCAACACGCAAGCATCTTTAGGACATGATATGATGGCCGCTTACAAGGCGGGACATTTATCCTAGTTAGCCGCCCTTAAAAGGGTAGCAAACATAAAAAAATATAAAGTTCTATGGCACTTGTCTTTTATTCAGTGGTAACAGCTAGGAACGGGTCGATACGGGCTGCATCAATAGGTGCAGCCTCTTTAGGAGCCCGGAGAGATGCTCCTACGCCCAAGCGAGCGCCAAGCGTGCATTCTGATGAGCGCGACGTGGCCACACAAGGGGACTTATTGAATAGCATAAAGGTAAGCCAGTAATTTATTACAGTATCCCTTAAAATTTTTCTACAATTCCAAACAGGAATCATAACCAATAATGACCAAATCTAATCTGCAAATAATCCATCTTCTCGAGCTCCTTCGTGCTTCGGAAGGCACGTTAAGCCAATCAGGGGTTGAGGAAAACCAGACAAGACGGGTTTAATAAATTTTATTGTTCAGCTCAACATTCGAATTGAAACCGAGTCGCACGCAGGCAGACATTGTAAACAGAAAGTAGTAGAAAGACTACAGATAAGCAAATGTCAAATAGTGATGTAGCATTGCTTCTACAATAAAGCCGTTGGTCTCGGTTGCATCTGCAGTCGTTAGCACGTCGTGTGGTGGCTGGCTGGTTGGTCATTTTTGCGAATAGTCTCTTCAGTTATTAAGTGCGGTACCAGGAAGGCCTGTACCCTATTAGTGAAGAAATTAATAAGATGCTGCTATTGTCGTCAAGGGCGTCGCCAAGGAGGCCTATTGTAGCTAGCCGCAAAGCGACCAAAGTGCGAGCAATTGACTTCCTTACCTATTATATTGCCCCACTGCCCCCCTAGTCATAAGCTGGCGACGCCCTTGATTGTCGTTTTCTTTCTTACTCATAGCACAACCGCGTTACACTACTAGTAGTATCTTATGGAACTGTAAGTCCAACGCCGCGTTGGATTGCTGTTAACAAACCCTCGCGACGCAGGTAATTGCTTGGACCAGCGACGAGCAGCCCGTGGGCCACTAGTCGGTGTAGGTATAATTTGAGTCGTATAGTATCAAAGGCAGCAAAGTAGGGCGAACCAAATATTTGGCAAATCAAAAAAAAACTGTTTAGTCTCGTCTATATGGGAGGATTTATATAATTGACATTTCACTACGATTTGTAGTTATGATGAATGTCAATGAACATAAAATCATTGCGCAAAATGAACCACAGGCACCATAATAATAAAATAAAATTACTATATTGCCGCCTTTGATAGTAAATTATTAGAATGACCGATTTTGAACCGAAGCTTGGTAAATATGGCCGCCTTTGACGCGAACTAAATATTAAGATAGCCGAGTATGAACAGGGTTGTCAAAATTAAAGTTTGTTATTTTTAATTAATATTTTTATTGAAAATTAACAGAAATAAAGAACAAATAATAGTCTGAAATAAAAATCAAATTACTAAAAATAAACTATAATTATTTCGTAGTAAAAAACAAAACTTTTGTTTACGCAATCACACAATGTTTGAATAAAATTTCCTTTTATGGTTTTAATGACATGGACTTAAACATAAAAAATCAATTAATAATAAGAAACTAAAGACCAGGTTTTATTAAGCCGGAGTCTTGCGTTCTATTTGGAAGATCACTTGCAATTGGGCACACACCGCAGACATCATAATATGTGTTTTCCATCACGACAATAGAATATTATAATAAAATCAACTAAATTGAAGTAACTGTAATGAATTGACTATTGTACGTTCTATCGCTCCTATTTAATAAAATTTCAAATAAAAAAACTATATTTCTACATACATACTAGTATATGGATAATACCTACCGGTAATGTTATGAGGAGAAAAGAATAACAAAAATCATGTTTTAATCATGAAACAATATTCCACGGACCCGTAACTATCAAAACAAAACAACAAATATTATTATTATAATGTTTTTTGTGACTTTTAACCGTGTAATTATATTTACAAATTATATTAACACGAAATTATCTTAGCTTTTTATCACATTCCTCTTCCATGTATCGCTATTCCTTCTTCGTTTCCTTGTGTAATTAGTAGTACGTGTTGTAGTTTGCTCCATGATAAGTATCAAACACTAAAGAAGAAACTTTAAATCACTAAAAACTCAAGACAAAAATGTATTAACTGCACTTCTGCCATGTTGCGACGCTAAACGCTATTGCAGAAACTCTTCTGATTGGTTGAAATTAAAATATGGCCGGTTATGATTGCGAGAAGGGAAAGATTGCCACCTTTGAAACCAAATTGTGTTTTCAATCAAGTTTTTAAGGGTATTATGGTCATCCGTAATCCTGAATGAGAGATTTTTACCTTTTTTTTTTAAATTTCCTGTGTTACCATACTCGTATCTCATTTTTGAAAATCTACCTACTTTGCCGCCTTTGATGCTATACGACTCATTTGACGTGCGCTCACGCAAGCGTGGCAGACATCAAACCATCCACTGCCTCCGACCAGCAGCCCGGCCCGCACCCGCTTCAGTCGATCCTGAGCTTCTTCGTTCACAGAGTCACTTGTCTAGTCCCATGGACTCAGCGTAGTGCAGTTTGAGCGGCTAGCCAGTCGACCTGCACCCGTATAAGTCGCGGCACAAAACTTTAGCGTCAGCGCTATAGTTTCATGCCGCGACTTATACGGCGTTATTGCGTAGAAGTAAAAATTAAGATGTGTTGGGGGGAAAGGAGGAGCGCGGGTGGGCGTGCGTTGCGCCGATTGGCTCTCCAGTCGCACGTTAAGGACAGACTGTTATCAAGTTAACAAATAGCAAATACGAATACCCAAGTGAAGCACCAGCATAATATTTACATAGATTAAATTGTCAAATGAACCATAACGTTTTGCAGTTCCAGAGAAGATTCCGCAACTCTTTGGTATCCGAGAAGCTTACTGGATTGGTTCACGACAAAATTGGGTCTGTAATATTTATTTTAAAATCAACATTGCTAATAAACCTCTATTAAAGATTCTGAAACAGTTAGCTTATTGCCAACATTAAAACATCCAATGGTGTAGATTCTGGCAGGATTCTCTAAACTTAAAACTAAATTTAACATCAGTCTGTCCTTTTCATTCCGTATAGAGAATGACAAGGATACACTGTTCGATTCTGGCATGATTCTCTAAAGCTAAACTTAAATTTGACAACAGTATATCCTTGTCATTCTCTATACAGAATGAAAAGGAGAGAATGATGTTAAATTTCGTTTTAAGTTTAGAGAATCACACCAGAATTGACACCATTATCATTCTCGTGCCTTTCACTACCACAGCGCTGAAAGTTCTTTGAACGCCCCATGGTTTCAGAATCTTTTATAGAGGATTCATATCATGGCTGTAGATAAAGTCTTGTATGCAATGGTTATAATTAGGTTTTAAAACACTCATGTGATTCTATGATATAGTATCACAATCGTGTTTTAATACCCCTCATTATCCAGTAGTTGCATAAATAACTATTAATGCTACTGCCAATTCTTAAACATGTATAAAACTAGATTGATTACAAGGAACATGGAAGAAAAAGGTATGATACCGATTCCAGAGTTTCCATGTGACAAACTTATTGTTGTTGTCAATGTACATACGAAATTAGGTTAGATACCTAACTTAAAAATAATTATATCAGTACTTGTTATTTCACCAAATTGACAGTGTCATCACAAAAGAAAAGGCCAGTATTAAAGACGTCAACTCGAAAACTAGTGCGGCTGGTCGCGGGAATCTTCAAAACCATGAAAACTGGTGAGAATATTTTTGTATTCCATACATACCTTCCACCCCTTTTCACCTCCTCTTCAATTTCTGGAAGTTAATTTCTAATTTAAATGATCCTATGCTACTATAGGTCGCGACAAACTTCTTGAACAAAACCATAGACTGATATACTTGCGTGACTTGCACAGTAGACGCTTTTATTTGTAAAATTGGTACTGCGCAGGCTTCCTTGTCTCTAGTTTGCTCGTTGCTCAAGAAGTTTGCCGAGATGTACACCTAAATTTTATCCATTCTCGGGACTCAAATATTTATTTATATTAACTTTTTTTAAATTTCATGGAAATAGCTTAAGCAGTTATGTGTGAATAATACGATTAATTTTCATAAATAAATTTTTATTTTCAAAAATGTTGTCGACTCGGCAACTACTTTAAAATAGTGAAGCAAGTCATAACATTTCTCCTTTTTTGTCAGGAATTATTTGCGAGAGCAACAGAATATCTTGCATCACCATTTTTAAATTTCTATCTCAAACCGCTTTATCCGTATACGTAGAATAAAGTTAGACTCGGTTCAAACCTGCCGCCAGCCTATTCGCTAACTTTTTTGACATTTACACTTATTATAGTGGTGTCAATTCTGGCGTGATTCTCTAAACTTAAAACTAAAATCACGCCAGAATCGGTACCAATGTGTAACTAAAGAGAAAATTGCATGTATCTTAGTGGTGTTTTATTGAAGTAGTAGTGGATCACTAAATAGCTCGGTCATTATCACTTCCATCTATCAACAAAAGCAGTTAGTGAAAAGGCCTACTGATGCTGTTTCTGTCTAGTAAACAAAGGCAAATTAAAGTATTTTTTAGGCCGGTTGTAATATCAGTCATCGTTTAAGAACAAGGCAGAATACATTGGATTTAACTGACTATCTATTCAACTCAAATGATAGCAGCGGGAATCTGCTAGTAAGCCTCCACAGTCCGTCTGCCAGCTGGTTGTAATAATTGGAATATCATAATTTATTTACAGTTGTCAAAGAGATAGAACAAATGCAACATCTAGAAGTGTCCTCGGATCACAGCGGCCGTCTTCGCCCAAAGGCAGGCAACGGCAAACTATGTATCATTGACAGAAACTCGATCATACAATAACTTACGGCTTCAGAGGAACTGCTAATGCCTCTAGTAAAAGAAATAAAATATTTTATCAAGTAATGACTATTCTTATTTCATGTCACAAAATTCCCTGATTAACTTTATCTAATCAGTATAGGGCGGGCCGCACACCAGGCATACAATTGTATTACGATAATTGTGGCGCTAAATCTGAAACGCGACACATTTAACGTCTTCATATATAACTGCATGTAAGCACGCACACAAAGGATACATATGTAGCGGGTGCATTTAGTAGCGAGACGAAAGCAACAATGTAGCGTCTATATTGTGGCTAGGTAAATGTTGCGTGCATGTACCATGCATGTGGCTCCTTTGTGCGGCCTGCCTAACGGTGTGGCATAGCATAGTCCGTTAATTACCTCCAAATTCAATATACTTGGCCACCACTAATAACAAATATAAAAAAAATAATAATAAGGACTTATTAAATTAATGATGTCGTTTTAAGCATGATCCTTAAAACTTAAATCTAACATCAGTCTCCTTTTCATTATGTATTTAAATATTCATTTAATGTCTTATATGAACATTTAAGGATCATAATCATATCCACACAAGTATTACTTTAATCTATACTAATATTATAATGTGTATAAAATAGCTATATAAAGAATTATTATTTAATTTACAACAATATGGTGCAATATGAATAAATTTAAGAATAATTAAAACAAAAATATACTATAACAATGAACCTAAAACTAAAAACCTTAAAATATAAAATATAATAACTAAAATACATTATTAAAAGGAGTCCATTTAGGCAAGGTTCCGAAGATACTGGCAGCGTTCCCCCTTTGGATAGCTAGACTTATTCTTTGTCCGAGGTAGCTGCCAGCTCTTCGGTCTCCTGTGATGTCGACTAATCTTTTCGCTATTTCTTTAAAAAGCCTTATAGCGCTAGGACGTAAAATATATATATTTAAATATATATAGGTGTCGATTCTAGCATGATTCTCTAAACTTAAATTTGACAGCAATATATCCTTATCATTCTCTATACAAAATGAAAAGGAGAGACTGATGTTAAATTTAGTTTTAAGTTTAGAGCATCACGCCAGAATTGGCACCATAGTATTTGATCCTCTAATATAGTAGGATACTATATTTCATAGTAGGGTTGGCAACCCTACCTGCAGTCCGAGCGGCGCTGGTGAATTCAGAATCTGAAAAAACATTCCAGTAAAGTCTCGGACTCCGAAACCTGCGCGGGCAACCAGTTGCCTGCTGCCACTATGGACACTCTTAAAACTTAAAACTAAATTTAACATCAGTCTCTCCTTTTCATTCTGTAAAGAGAATGACAAGGACACACTACTCTTGTCAAATTAAAGTTGAGGTTTAGAGAATCATGCCAGAATCGACACCAGCGTAGTTTAATAAGAGTGAACCAGCGTGCACTGTGGCCGTACCCATAAGGACCCATTAAAATGCCCCAACCTTATAAATAACTAGCAAACCCGGCGAACTCCGTTTCGCCACCAGATGGCTTCGTTTTATGTAACATTTCGTTTGGTGATTAAAAGAAGTTTTTTTTTAATTTTTCCTGAATTTTCTTTGCTATAAACCTCACGAAGCCCGAGACCTTTCCAATGAATGCAAAACCGTGGAAATCGGTTCGTGCGTTCTGGAGTTATAGCGTCAGGAAGGAAAACCCGACTTATTTTTATATAGTAGACTAGCAAACCAGGCGAACTCCGTTCCGCCATCAGATGGCTTCGTTTTATGTAACATTTCGTTTGGTGATTAAAAGAAGATTTTTTTTTTTGAAATTTTTCCTGAATTTTCTTTGCTATAAACCTCTCGGAGCCCGAGACCTTTCCAACGAATGCAAAACCGTGGAAATCGGTTCGTGCATTCTGGAGTTATAGCGTCAGGAAGGAAAACCCGACTTATTTTTATATAGTAGATAAGGTTGAGGCATTTTAATTAATGTAATATCATTCGATTATTACGCACGATCTTCTGTGTATTCGACTGATCTCGGAAAGATCCTTCATCATCATCCTATATTTATGGAAAAATCTCATCCAATAGGCTAGTTTACTCATGTCGAATTGTATTAAATAAATGTTTATTTCTTAAAGTATTTAGTCTAAGGAACCTTAATATATCGATTTCACTTCATAAAAGCAGAAGATTGCTGTGGAAATTTAATTTTAAAAAATATTTTTTGTCTATATTTTTTAAACACTAAAAACGCTGTTCGCCACATCCGCCATGATTCTGACGTCTCTTGTGGTAAACAACTAAATGTCATTCGCGTGTTACTGTAGGTGGATTCTTTCGTCTGACTAAATTTATCTTAAAACACTTTTAACTTTAGGAAAGAAAAAAACAGTTTTTTGACAAAACTAATTATGGATGCCGGCTTTGTGAAAGCAGAAAGCACAAATCTGCCAAGAATTGACGCATTGATGGTTGGTGAATTTGTTGCACTAAACCCCGATTTCTGCTCTGCGGAGCAGAGAAACGACAAGGCATCTATGTAAGTACAGTGCATTTAGTATTACAATGTAGTAATAAACATAAAACTGATACAACATATGAATAAGTGTAATAAAGTTGCGTAGGTTAATTTCTTTCGGCACTTTAATCCACAACTTTCCTGGAGTTTTCAAGGATGTGTTTTTATATTCTCGTACAATACAGTAATGATAATTACTTTATTTTTCGTGGTATTTATTAGAAATCATGTTTTTTTTTATTATAAACTCAGTTAAAAGTAATTTTCTACGTGTTTACGAGTTTTTGTTTACCACAGTTCACGTCATAGCATAGATAATCTATAGACTAAAATGGCCGACAGCGTTTTTGTATGTCCATGAAAAGTCTATTTTAAAATTAAAGATTTGTAGCTTTCTAGGTTAAAAAAAAATACAATACATTTTTTTCGGTCTAATAGAACATTAATTAACCATTTAAAACCTTTTTCCAAAAAGGGTCAACTAGCCTATTGAAGCGATGAAAAAAAAAATACGTTAAAAATCGAATCCTTTCGATTTTGATCGCCTTTGTTGACTGTGAGCATCCCAATTCGCTTGCCCTGCTATTAACTTATTCTCATAATGGTCTGTGATCACTTATGCCGGATTGGGGGGGATTTCCCCCAAATTTAGGGGTTTTTAAAGCGATGTGGGGATAAGTGGGGGAAAATATTTTTGGGGGGATTAATGGGGGGAAGAAATTTGGTTTTGGGGAAATTGGGGGTTTTAAAAAACAAAAGGACTTTATAAACTTTTAATCTGTAAAAAGTTGCGATCAACCGTCTCTCAATAGTCCTCTTTCTCATTTGATAAAGAGCATTGTCAAGGGTCTAGACTCTAGACTGTGGCCAAATTTAATTTTATTATATTACGCTTAGAGAATCATGCCAACATCGGGCCCACTGAACTGTGTTCAGTCAGTGAGCCCGATTAGGACCCCTTAAGCAAAGCTAAGTGATCTTTGTTTTAGGAAAAAAAGTACTCTTCAGTCCATTCCGTCTAGGTCAAATCAAGCAAATCAGTCAGTCGATAATGGTCGTTAGCTGTTACTGCAAATCGATTCAACACTATCTATCATCTTTGACCTGCTAAATCTTATTTGTCCTTATAGTTGTTTGCATAAAAATATTAAAGCCAGAAACATATTAACGTGTCGTGTCGTGTCGAGGCGCGCCAGAAGAACATCGGTTTCATAAATTTACTATGGTTAGAGACATATTTACGTGTCGTGTCGTTCTAACCTCTCGCTCTCTCTCTCGCGCGGGATTTCATCGAGTCGGTTGACGTCTTATTTCAATTATTCTTAAATTCGTTCTTACCGGTTATTGTGAAATAAAATTGGTGTGATTTTGTGTTACAAGTTACAACCATCTGCGCAACTAAAGAATTAATGGAATCTTTTAAATATACGCTATTTCGGTCAAGTGGTGGTGAGAACTTTATTGTAGTGTTGATTATCTCACAGAAGCTTATCGAAAAATCCAACTCGATACATTTTGATTTTCGTGCCAAACACTCCAAGAAACATTAGAATGCGTCACGCCGACATTCTAATGTAAAAAAGAAGATTAAGATTTGTATTTATGTATACGACTGAAAGACTTGTATCCATGGTCATGCATAATTAAAAAAAAACTGTGCTGGTTGGTGCTGCTATTGCATCTGTGCGTACTGCGTGCATGCTTTCTTTTGAAATTGTTTCATTTTGAGTTTTGTGGTCTTCTTGACTCGTGGAAACTATTTTAGGTTCATTCTTTCATATTTATTGTTCCTAAGTATTGAAAAGCAATTTTCCAAATATGCTGGTACACACAATCTCTTGTCATTATTTGTGAATCAAAATACCTAAGGTTTGAAAGGTGAAAGTTATTTTACGCAGTATTTGCTTTTATTTTGAAAAGTAACGCCGTTTTTAATTTTGTTTTGAAAAAGGCGACATAATCGTGATAAAATAATAATTTAGTTGTGTTCCACTTTATTATTCAGAAATATATTAACCTTCACAGCGCTAAGCGGTCCCTAACTTACATATTCTTACAAGGAAGTTAGGTTTTGTGGGTTTCCGTTGAATTTAAAGGTGTCATGGTGATTTTAATATGTGTCCATAGTTTAAATTAACTTGTTCTTTTCTTGTTGTTCTCGTATTGTTGTTGTTTTTCAATATTAAGTTGATACTAAAATGTTTGAAAATCATGTCATTTTGGTGGTGTTGTATTTCTATTTGTGAGTAAGGTTTGTCAGTGTTATAGGGGATGGGGTCAGGGTCGCAATTTGTTTAGGCAAGCAAAGCTTTGGTTTTGCAATTTTTATCTTAAATTCATCATCATTGCTCTTACTGCGTCATTTACTAGAATGGCAGTTTAGTAAGTCAGATTATTGCTTGCCGTCCTTTAGGAAATAAATTTTGTCTTTGGAGTCAATTCTGGCACAATTCTTTAAACTCTAAACTGAATTTGATATAAGCC